TTTTTTTTTTTTTTTTTTTACAGTAAATGGTAAGTTAACACCATAATAAAAATGAAATTAGGATATTAAATATTGAAATAAAATAAAAATAATAATTACTATAAATTCACTTATACAAAAATTTTAAAATAATAAATATAATTCTAAAAATATTATTATTGGTAAATTTGTATATTTTCCATTTTATTTTAAATAAATAGTCAACTAATAGGTTTTGTTCATATTTAGCAATGCATACATTTTCAAAAGATTCTCACATTATATTATTACATTATTTGTAGATTTGAAAAATTACAAAGATAATAAAAATTGATACTAGGTTATTTATTTATGCCCCACACGTTGCTGTTTAGTAAATCAGAACAATTAAAATAAGTAAACATATGGAAAAACAAGATATTAAATACGTCGGTTGCAGGTATGCCACCCCCGGGGGTTGGAAGAGCCTGGCCTCCTCTCAGGTTCAGAGGGAGAGAGTAGATAAAGGTGGACGGAGGGTCGTACCGTTTCATCGACGCTCTACCACCCAGTGGGATGCTTGTCCCTCTGTCCCTGCTAATGCCCCCAGGTGGGTAATTTCTGCCCCGATATGAATGAGAAAATCATTTTATTCTTTTTTTTTTCCATATATTAATTCATCACCACAATAATGCCAATATCGTACGATCCGTACCATAACGTCATCTTTTAATTCACATCGCTTATGAAAGCTCCGCTATTTATCTAGACATACGAGTGACTAAATCTAATTGCACGAATAACGCATTAATCAGACATCATTGTGCAATTTGTTTCTTTCCTTTTTTTGTAAGGAGGGGGATTTCCGTTATTATTTAAAAAAAAATTACAAATATTAACCATGGTAAAGTATACATGACAAAAAACTTTTTTTTTATTATTTTATCTTAATAAATAACAACACACAAGATGTGTTTGTAACACAAGCCTTACTAATTTTGTACATACTTTAAATGGGATCTGTTGCATATATGTGCTTATTAATACAAATTATTGTAAGTATATTCATACATAATTCATATCTAAATAAGATATTGTAAAGGTTAAAATATATTTTGAACGTAAATAAAATTAACTAATTACTTTATTTCTTATATCATTTCTTATCATTTATTATATCATGTATTACTATATAGTTAGATTCTACTTATATACTAAACAAATTATATTGCAACAATTTAGTAGAAAAATATATTTCTTACAAAACATTTTTGTTTACTTTTTCCTAGCTTTGCATGTGTGTCTAACATTGTTGTTCATAAATTATGCATGAGTTTTATAACTGTTATCTTTTCATATATATTTCATTTGTGTCAAAATTATAACTGAATATATTACAATTTATATATTATCCGCAATTTCCACTTTTCGTTATATATAAGTATAAAATTAAGTTTTTCATGATTTTTAACATATAAAAAATATATTTTAAATAACTTTTTATAACAGTTTTTGTAATTAGTGGAATGGTTGTAGATATTGTATCATAAAACTCTCTTCACAGAAACATTCATGGTGATAGTTATATTTCCATCATTTTTTGTTTAGCATGTATCAGTTTGTCAATATCAATTATAATTATCGAATTTATTAATATTTATATAATATTTGGATTACAGAAGATCTTAATTTATAATTCTATTTCTTAATTGAAATAGGTCTGTATTGAACAGAACAGAAGCGCCAAGTACACCACCAGGTGGACCTCCTTCTTACTCAAGAGGACCACCAACAGGAGGAGATTGTCTACCAGTTCCATCTGTTGGCTCACCAGGATCTCCTGCACCTTCACCTCTTCCAACACCACATTCCGAACCAGCATCGGTTCCACCAGCAGAGCCTACAATGCCTACTCTTAGCCCTCAACCACCACCCAGTCATACAAACACTGCCCCACCACTAACACCTTCTCAAGGCCCAAAATCAACTTCCTCTGCATGTAATAATCAAGTGCATAGTCCAGCTCCTGGACCAACATTAAAACGACCAGTCTTAGCCTCTAGAGAATGTGAGGATATATATTTAGAAAACGAACAGTCATTACCTTGGCTCTATGATTATTCAACACAAGAAGCATGGCTCAATCACCCTGTAAAACGTTTTAAGGAATCTAATACCAGTCCAGTCAATGTGCGGAGCAATACTTTGTATCCACCAATGAATTCTCAAATTCCTCAATCTCAAACACCCAAATTAGAAATTAAACAAGAACCAAATGTCAATGTTGTAAGTGACTTTTGCATTTACGCGAGATATTACTTGTCACTTTCCTTTACATTATTTTTATTACTATTTGATAGGGAGATTGCATTGCAAGAAGAACAGATCCATATGAGTTTGATGCAACAGGTGAAGAAAATGGTACAGGCGTTGATGGACTTAGACGACAAAGAGATGATCCTTCTAAACCAGGATCTTTATTCACTAGCGAAGGTCTTCAAGCATCCTATAAAGATTTAGATCAAATCTTTGACAATTCTGATCCTGACACTTCTAGCGATGAAACTGTATGTTTTGACTTTTCTTTTTCTTTTCTATTATTTAATGCTGATTAAATATTTGTAATTAGAGTAACAAATTAGACAATACTTTTTACAGAATTTAAACCAGCTTCAAGTACAAACTCCACCAGAGTCAAATAGGTCTGGTGGGCTGCATGAAGAAACGAGAGTAGACGCAAATAACAGACATAATAATCGGGGAGTAGGTGTATTACGACCAGAAGAGCTTTCCAAAATGTTTCCAACACCGCCATCTTTAGAGCATAATCCTGTTGCGTCGCCTTGTCAGTTAAACGACCCTTTAATGGACCAGACGGAACTTTCTGTACCTCAACGACCACTTAGGCATCTCCCTGACATCTATCCAAACATGGGATCTCCTCAAGAAGAGCCAATTGATGATTGGTCTTACGTGTTCAAACCTACGTCCATCTGTAAGATGGTTGGTTCTTCCAAATATGCTCCTCTCACAAATCTACCCAGTCAATCTTTACCACCTGTTACACTGCCATCGCACTGCATATATAGACCTTCTTGGCAGTGCAACCCTACTTCCAATAATTCAGATAAACCACTTCCACCAACTAGACCTGGTTCGGTGCAACAACAACCCTGCCCTCCGAGCCCAGCGCCATTAGGAGCACCATATCGTTCAACAACTATCTCCGGAAGGCCACCGCCACCGCCGTATGATCAACCGAGCCCAGCCACATCTACCACTTCTTCTTATCTGAATAAAAATTTGAATAGCATTGAAGCTGATACACCAGGCCCCACTCGTGCACCAGAATCGAACTCTCTCATAGTGAATATCCTCTTAGGTGACACTGTGCTTAATATTTTCCGCGATCACAATTTCGACAGTTGCAGTCTTTGTGTATGCAATGCAGGTCCAAAGGTAGTTGGTAATATTAAAGGCGCAGATGCTGGTGTATATCTTACACATTCGTGGTCAGGCGGGGCTTTATTCCAAGATGATGATCAGATTAGATGCAGTTGCGGTTTTAGTGCAATTGTAAATCGACGGTTAGCTCACCAAGCTGGTCTGTTCTACGAAGATGAAATGGAAATCACTGGAATTGCAGAAGATCCAGCAGAAAAAAAGAAAACATCTTTGGTCGCTGTAGCTTGTGCAGGAGGTAAACCATCGGAAGGTTTAGACGTGATACCACCTAATGTGTTAGAATTGCTCAGAGAACAGTGCCTGATCATACAGAGCTCTGCAAGTAGTCTTTATAGAGCATCCAGGATTTATGCTGCAATGAAAAGTTACCCAATGCTCGCACCTACTGTGAATATGTTGGAGTTTAATGATGGAAACGAAGTGTCGCTAGCGGCTCTTGATCAGGGTAAAATTAATGGTACGCACAATGAAAGGACTAATCGTGTAATTGGAGTGCATCGATGGGTGTTTCTTAGAGCAAAAGGTCCTCAGTGCAGTGGTGATATTGTGCGAATGATGAGAGCTTTACAACCGCTTTTGCAAGATGCAGTGCAAAAAAAATGTACTACTAGAATGTGGGAAGCACCATATACTGTCGCAGGTCCTTTAACCTGGAGACAATTCCATCGTTTAGCTGGTCGTGGAACTGATGATCGTTGTGAACCTCAACCAATACCTGCATTAGTTGTCGGATATGACCGAGATTGGTTATCTTTATCACCTTATGCTTTAAGCTACTGGGAAAAACTACTCTTAGAGCCATATGCGGGACCGAGAGATGTTGCCTATGTGGTGGTAGCACCTGATAGTGATTGTGTTATTAATAAAGTGAAATCATTTTTCCGTGAATTATCAACTACTTATGAAGTAAGTATATATATTTTGAATAATGTACTGATGAATGTTTTCATCTTACATTAAAATTTTGATTTTTTCCAGATTTGCCGACTAGGAAGGCATACACCCATTTCAAAAGCATTACGCGATGGTATACTTCGCGTAGGAAAATTGTCTGTACAGAAACAAGCCAAACAACCAGTAGATGATTGGTTTAAGCTTTTAGGAGAAAATCAATTAGGAGAATTGTTGCGATTATATGCGCAAGTCTGTAATCATCGATTAGCTCCATATCTAACACAGGTTATTCAAGATCGAAGTTTGTTAGATCCCGGAGACGCGCAATCAACCAATAAGCAACAACAACAACAGCCACAAACGACTATTGCTGTTACTGATGCAATGCCAGCCACACCTGATGTAATGACAAACAAACCTGAATCCGTTGGTATGTTTTAATAATGAATACTGTCTTTGATCATTTTTTAATATTATTGTACAAGCCTTAAAGACAATTTACATCAATGTTATTTTAAGATAAAGTAATTTACAAATATCTCTAAATATCCATCAATTATTAATTTTATAAATGTATGTAAAAAAATTGTGATAATAGGAATACAGTCATAATAATTTATAAGAGCAACCAAGAATTTTTTAAATAATATAATTTAATTAATTGGTTTAAAGTAAAGGTTAAACATTTCAAATTTGTATATTAAAATTAACATTTCAAATTTATACTATATCACACATAACAATTTTTTTAAATTATATTTTATACCTTTTTACTCTGCAATTTCTTTTTTTGCAAGACATATTTTCGTCTACAGTGTTTAATTATTTGATCAGTGTAATTAAGGTAATAAAAAAAATAAAATAAAATATATTATATTACTTTTCAGAAATTCATCCGAGTTGAAAATGATATTTAATTTTACTTAACACGTTAAGTGCCCAGCCCGTCTTGCTTGTCGTTCCGTTCAGGCCCAGACTCGGCCGTTAAGTGGGCCACCGGCGGCGGGCGCAGTGGAGACACCTTTGTCTATTCTGTTTTAATATATTACATTAAGTTTTTTTTAAATATTGTATTCTTTTTGTTAAACCTTGACTGAACAAAAACCGATGTAGCCTAAACAAAATATTTAGTCTCGCAATCAGTGCGCAAGGACCGACACGCGCGGTCGTGTAATAGGAACTTAAAGTCTGCAACCTGTCTTTAAGGACCAGCCGAGCCCGATCGAAAAGTCTAGGGCCGGTCCCTAGCCACCGACATGGCACTTAACGTGTTAAATAACATTTATTATAATGTAATTGTTAGATTTAAGTTATTCTTACATTTGTTTAGTAAATTAACATTTTACTACGTTTCATTTTTTGGTATAAATAAGTAAAATGTTCATAATTTCTAAAATTTAATTTAGTTCATAGGAATTATATTAAACTTAAGGAGAATATTATAATATAAATAACTAAAAAGAAATTAAAAAAATTATTTAGTATAATTTTTTAATAGAATCATTTATATGAATATTTTCTTATTAAAGGTATTTTATTAACTTATTACTAAACACAGAGGTTTAATATACATTTATTCATTAAAAAAGAAAATGATTTAAAGACATATAATATACATAAAATTTGCACATTTCTAGAAGGAGAGAATCCTAGAAGTGAAACTCCATCATCGAATACAACAACAAATGCTAATTCTAATACTGGTAATACAACGCCAACTTCACAAACTGCCACGATACACACTAATACCACATCGGGTCCAGATGAAGAAGAAGTCGAACCTCCCGCTATAGTCGTTTACTTAGTAGAACCTTTCTCATTGGGAGGTCCTGAAGATCCTGATCGTCGAAGACTTGCTATTTTAGCTCTGTTGCGTGCATATTCAACAGCAGTTAATAGCATGCCTGAAAACATTAGATCCAATATCAATGTTCAGGTGAGATCAAATTGCAATTTTTCTTATGTCTTATTAAATAATCTCAAACGACGGATTTAGAAGGAGATAAAGGAGGAACAGAGATAGAATGAAAAATTGAAAGAATGCTGTATTTTAAATAGATATACTTTTCCTCTAACATAACAGTAATATTTTTATTACATATATGTTACTGAAGATTAATATTCGACTTTTTGTAAATTATAATTCGAATCACATTAATGTACCGCGATATGAACAACTTGCTAATTAATTTTCAATATATTTTTATCTAGATAATATCCTTGGAAAGCATAATGGAGTTAGGAAGAGCTAGAGAAAGGCGCAAGATACAAGATGAAATGAGAGCTTTGGCACTAAACGTGTTTCTGCAGGGTCGCCGATTATTAAATCATAACTCCACGGTAAAAAGTCTCACTGGCTTTGGTACCGCTGCCGCAGCAGATATTTTTCTTAAGAGTAAAGATGTAAGATCTTACTTTGTATCTTTTATATCCAATCTGTTCCATAAAATAAGTTAACTACGTTGCCCGTATATCGATTAAAACGATAGAAATAGTAAAGAAAAAGCAGGCCATGATTCGATCATTTTCAGTCTTATAGTAATACTCTTGCAACTATACATCAGGAACGAAACAGAGCCCCGTACCGGTTGTACTCACCAGCCTACGTCCTTGCCCCTTTAAGGGCAAAAAGTGAAGCACCAGAGTCCTTTGGTATTGCTGGACCAGAAGAGTGTACAGTTTTATATCTGAGCTACTGCCTTAGTGAAGATCAGTCTTGGCTATTTGCGGTTGCAACTGATGATAGAGGTGAAATATTTGAAACGGCTACTATCAACATCGATATACCCAATAGGAAAAGAAGAAAACGCGCTTCAGCCAGACGAATTGGATTACAGAAATTGATGGATTTCATACTTGGTGTAATGTCGCAAGGTGTAAGTAGATCACCTAATATAATTTAAAATATTAAATATTATAACATTTTTATGCGTATTCCTTATTCTGTTCATAAAACTTGTGTTCGTAATTATATGTTGTAATTGTATATTTTCTTCATAAATCTAGTAAAAGGTATTTAAGTAAAGTCAAGAAATTTGATCGAAATAAAGTTAAAAATTACCATCCTAAACAAAGTTGCAACATCTAGGTTAGCAGCAATAGAATAATTGTACTGATTGTTTTAAAATATATAATTTGAAAATAATTAAAATATAATTAATAATATGAAATAAAATTGTAGTGATAAATTATAATGAATATATTAAGATTTAAATAATTTTGAGGGGTGTTTGTTCAAAAAGAATGTTTTTGTACTTAGGTACAACCTTGAGTGGCCAGTGCAGTCTCCTATATCCATCAGCAGCACCTTGTGTGCTTAGCGCCTGTTTAGTCTCCCTTGAACCAGATTCAACTCTCAGGCTTATGGCTGATCAATTTACACCTGATGAACGGTTTAGTCAGGCTTCGGTAAACTGCCAATTATCCACACCACAAGATGTTACATGTACTCACATCCTCGTCTTTCCTACATCTGCCACCACACAGGTAAATTTCTATAAATCTTATTTTTGAAATAAATACAACATCAATAAAAAATATAAATCAAAAAATTATTCTTAATAAATGTAAGAATGAATGTTACAATCCAGTGTTACTAAAAAATCATATTTTTGTTATTTTTTAAATATTGGTACCTATCAATTCTTTATCTAATGGATTTAAATTCTTTTAATATTTACATATTTACCTGTTTATTCTTATATATTTACCTTGAATGTTGAAATAAGAATTAACTTTATTAAAGAAAAATACTTGTACAAAACTATTGTACATATTTTTTATTAATAATTTAATAATTAATGACATAATAATGATGCAAAAATGGTAGATATCCTGATCCTATATGTCAATACAAATTTTTGTTTGAAATATATAGAAAAATTATAATTTATGAAAATTTAATATATTTATAATTGTTTACAAAAATAATTATATTTATTCAAATATTTATTTAAAGAATGATTAAGATATAACAAAAAATTTTGGTATAAAGAAAGTATTATTAATAATTAATTATTAATTATTAATTATGGGGACTGAAAAATTTATTATACTTCTCTTATTATAAGTTTATATTATTTATACTATAAATTTAAATTTTATCCTAGAATGATTAATTATTAATAGGTTATTTTAAATAAAAACAAGATGATTAAAATTAATGTTATTTCAATATTTGTAACTACTTATCAGTAAGTATTTCTTAAAATCTTTATAAAAAATTATCTTTAAGAAATGAAATTCTATCACATTTTTCGTTATTAGATGTTTACAACTTTTAAATATCTAAAAATAATTATTTTTCTACTACAGTCATCACAAACTGCATTTCAAGAGCAGCATATTAATGTACCAGAATTAGGAGATGATGAGCTATTTTCTGCGCTAAACGATGATATGGCAGAAGGTATGGAAGGCATGGGAGACTTCAATGATATCTTCAATGTATGGACAGAGACTGGTGCTGGTGGAGGACAAAGTCCTAGTGGTAGTCCACATAGACCTGAAGGATCACCACTAGGTGGAGATGGTGGTGGCTCAGGTTTAGGCAATCATGATGGTCCTGGTAGTCCATTTCCACGCAGCAACACACCAAGAGTAAGCCAAAATTAATCACTCAAATTCAAAATTAAATATAATTTAAAAGTTTCAGTCAACATTAATTTCAGTTCATGTTAACGCTTTATGTTTGGCTCCTTGATGTTAATAATAAAGATAATTATTATGTAATTGCATCTAAATATGTTATTATAAATATCCATATATATTATTTTCAAATATACAAATTGTAGCCTGTTATTCTCAACACATTTCTACAGCATGTAATTATACAATACAAAGCATTTCTTATTATATTTTGTATAAATTACAAATTTTCTTATTGATTCAAATCTTTATACAAAATGTAGTAATATAAAATATTCTAAATGTTACATAAAAGTATATTTTATAGTCATTAGAAAATGGATATAATGATCATAAAATGGATATAAGATATATTTATATAAACAAAATAACAGAATATAATTACTGATAGTATAAAAAAAGTATAATTATCATAAAAAAGTCAGAAATAGAATTTTTTGTAATTGTAATTTTTGAACTAAATAGGTATTGAAAAGGAAGGTAATAATTAAATTATATATAATTAAAAATGTAAATTAAATATAACAAAATAAAATGTTTAATTGTTATTACAGTTACACAAAAAGATTTTAAACAAAAATTTTATAATTGATAGGTAGCAGTTGCTGAACAAGCAGAAGAAGTTGGAACACTATTGCAGCAACCACTTGCTCTTGGTTATTTGGTATCTACTGCACCAACTGGTCGAATGCCACCATGGTTTTGGTCAGCTTGTCCCCATCTTGAGGGTGTTTGTCCAGTGTTCTTGAAGAATGCCTTACATTTGCATAGTCCAGCAATACAGCAGAATAGTGATGATCTGTTGCAACAACAAAGTGCACTCACTGCTCATCCATTAGACTCACAATTTACCACCGATGTGCTCAGGTTTATATTGCTGCTTTAATTAATTTTGTATCTTTTGTCTTTTTTAGTCATTATAATTTTCAATATAATTTATTTTAAAATGTTGAAATCTGTCTTATTAATTTATTTAATATAATTTACATTTGTATACTGCTATAACTAGTAATTTAAACATTCTAAGAAATATTTTATGTTAATGCCACAATTTAATTAATATTAATTAATGTTTTAAAGTTATCATAACATCATAAACCACAAAATTGTATTACTTTATAATTTTAGATTTTTTCTAATAATTAAACTTTATAATATATTTGACTGAAGAAATTTAGCTTGGAACACAATTTTGGTACATTTTATATTGGCTATCTAAACAACGTATAATGTTTGTTGTATCTTTAAATTCTTATTTTATTAACTTGTATTAAGTACCATGTAATATATTTACTTATTATCATTATTAACATTTCAGGTATGTGCTAGAGGGATACAATGCACTGTCGTGGCTCGCAGTGGATGCAAACACGAAAGATCGTCTATCCTGCTTGCCAGTGCACGTGCAAGCGCTCATGCAGCTCTACCATGCAGCGGCAGCTCTCGTCTGACCCACACCCTCTCCCTTCGTAGTGCAGTATGTGCACCTCTTTCATGCACTCCTTTACTACCGTCACTTGGGGCTTTACGAGAGCAACTGGTTTCCTACATCCGTCTTCAACTGTTTGTTAGAGACTTTAAGATTCCCTGGATAATTGAGAGAAAACGATCCTTCGATCATTAGTCGATAAAACCTCCAATGCGAAACACCGATTTTTTTTACTCGCTTTTTTTTAAATTAATACGATAATACGCCGCGATCATAGTGTAAACTTGATAATTATCGATGCACAGTAATTCTTCTTAATGTTTTTCTAATCGTGTAATTCGGCAGGTGAAAAAAAAAATAAATAGATTGTACTTTGTGTTTTCCAATAATCGCGACAAGCAAAAAGATAACACAAAATACTATTATTGACAACCGTATATTGCCGCATACCAAATGGAATCTGATGAATGAAAGATAGAATTGCATGTGGAAGATTGATAGAACGAATGAACATGTGAGAGAACGAGAGTGAATAAAAGAGAGTGTGAAAGGGTAAAGAAGGGAGAACGAGTAAGCGCGTATAAACAGCAGAAAAGGGGAAACAAAAGAGAGCGCGCTATAAAAAGTTAACTTACAATTGCCTCTCTGTCGGTAGATAGTTCAATTACAAATCAGAATCTCTAGAAAATTACATAACCAAAACGTTTTTAATTGTAAATTGAATTTTGTACAAAGCTTTTATTATTAATAACGACGAAGTAATATAAATAATATTACGTTGTTTTTTAATTTTATATAGATGATATAAATGAAAAAAGAAGAACGGAATAGGGAGGCGATACTTCTTTTTTACAAGTAAAATGCCTCGTACAAGCCCCTGGTGTGAGATAAGTACGACAATTATATATTATATTATATTATGCTCGCGCGGCACTGGGTCACTGTTATCATGTTTCCTGGACCCATTAGCGCAATTTTTCGATGCTGTTTGACAAATTTTATTCAAATTAGGTGACCTCTATATATTATACATACATTAATAGTGTAAAATATTGTTTTTAAATAATTTATGAAGTGAGAGACATCGCCGAGATATTAGATAATTGAGAATGAACGGAAGGAACGTAAGAGAGTAAAAGAGAATGAGAGAAGGGCACAGAGAGGTTTGTTCCCTGTAACTTAGGAAAAAATGATTTCACATACAAACAAATGAGCGAACAAACGGAGTGAAAAAATATATAAAAAATAAAAAGACAAGAGAAGAGAATACAGGGCGCGTCTGAATGGAGGCCGATGGCTAATTGCGTCAGTCGCATAGTACAAATATGACTTGTACATAGCAACCCCTAATCCTCTCCCCCTTATAAAATTAATTGGTTAATTTACTCACACACCACACTCACACTGTATCTATAGTATTTATTATCTGGGTAGAACATCATTATTGGGATTATTATTATTAATTATTAATTATTATTAATTATTATTATTACCATTATTATATTAATATTACGAAATACAGTTTTATGTGTATATATAATTATATACCTCATTTCACGCAAAGTGTATGTATGTTTTACAGTTTTGATGTTGCAAGCATAATAGAAACAATACAATGTTTTAATTTTTGCAAACTTTATTATTAATATAAAGTTAATTATGTATCATATCACTCCAAGGAAAAAAAGAAAGGTTAATATGCACTTTCAATATGTATAAAAAGGAATAAGTTATTGATAACAATTATCATATAGGCTAATGATCATAGATTAAATCATTACAATGTAACTTTTTACTTTTTTCTTTTTGTTTTTGAAAAAATACTTATTTATGGAAACAATTCTGCACTAGGATAAAAGTAACGTAAGATATGTATTCTTTGTTTATGATAAAAAAATCTTAACAATCTGCCGTATTTGAAGAATAAAACTTCATTTGATCCATTAATTCATTTTACTTTTGATAAAAATTATATTAAGTTTTATAGAATGGGAGAATTACGTTTTAAAGGATTAAATAAGAGGAAGTGAAATTATTAAATAATTAGTATTGACATTTGATAGTATATCTAATATGCTTGTAGCATTTATTTGTAGAGCAGTGTACATCCTCCCATGCTCTTGCAATAAAATTATAAATTTCTCATCACTATAGGTATGTATAAACATTACATATATTACGAAATATAAATATAGGCCGATTCGCGCAATTTGCATACCTTAAGTAATTTTGAAGTATTCAAAAATTTGTATATAAAAATTTCATGATTTGAAATAGTACATTACATAATACCTGTACTTTTTTGTAGATGAAGACATGAATGATCTCCAAAGTAACTTCGCTTTTTTAAATGAATATATCATTAAGACAAAATATTAAAAAATGTTAAATTTTTAGTAAAAAATTTTCAACTTTATTATCTATAAAACTAATAACTAACAAATAATTTTGTATTATTTTCTGAAAATTTATTTTGTATATTACATTAAAAATTCAGTATCGTCTATTATTAGAGATGTGCAAATTATGTGAACAACACAATATATCACAAATTTTATCTTTCAGTGAATATATTAAGATTAAGAATGTGCAAATATCCAAGATTTGGATCAAGTAATGATTAGATTGCATCAGACGAGTTTTCGAAAATTCATCTAATATCTATGATTGTAAGAAAAAAAACTGTATATCACAATTTTAAAAAATTTATTCGTTAATTGGTAAAACATGATTTACATGTTTATCAAAAAAAATTAATAAAAAATGTTATATTTGCAGAAAAGGTTATACAATTTAACTAAAGGCTAAATAAGAATAATTGATATTCAGAATTTTAAATGACAATATCAAAAATATGTGACATGTGGCATTTTTACTTACAGCCATAGATATACCTAAAGTGGTAGACAATAACACCTAATTAGAAAACATTTGGTGGAATTTTACTGCTCGTACATATACGCACACATTCATCAGATTATCGTGTAAAGACACAAGAATGTTGCTACAATATTTAGGCAGATCTATTGCCTTCGAGTAAATTAATAAGTAAATCTGAGTACAAATTTATTTGAGGTAAAATTCTTAATTCGGAGTTAAGAAAAATTAAAATTCGAATTAAGACCCGACAACTTTAGCAACTGTAGCAATTTTCTACACGTTAATTAAAAATAAAATGATTTTTCATACATTATATCATATTACATTTTTTTCTTTCTTTTATTCTTACAGTTAATTACACAACATATAAAAATGCTTCTAAACATGAAAATTTAAAACTAGTTGGAAAAAATTTTAAATTAATTTAACTTACATTTTCGAGTACCACTTAATTAATATCTAGCACATTCTTAATTAATATCTAATTCGTTGGTCTAAACAGACTAGTTATACTCATGGGAGAAAAGAAAGAAAAACGTAGTTAAAATTGCTGATTTTAATTACTGTCAAATTTAAAAATATTATATAAATTTTAAGATATATAAATATTACAGTAAGTATTTTTTTAAAACTTGAAAAAAGAAATTAGTTATGAATAATTATCATAATCCTTCCTTTGCATAGGAAATAATTTCAATAGAAAAAATTTTTATATCGTAAAATTTCTTAACTTTAATCTTTCCTTCCTCTTTTAATTTATTAAAACTATCAAAATACTTTTTCTAATTTTTGTAATATTTGTTTGAAAATTTATAACCAAAAATTATTTATCATTGCAGTACTCCAATTAAGAATAGTATATAGACTAGTACTCAGTCGATATGGTGGTTGACTGATCCATAGTAATTTTTTCTACGCCGTGCGTAATACCATATGGCCTTAAGTGATAAATTAAATATTCAAGAACATACATCATATTAGGTAATACATAATGAAACGAAATCGCGCTATCAGAACAACAATTAAGACCATCTTTGGTATCATAATAAATATACTTCCAGTACCAGAAATTTTTATCTACATGATTAGGAATTAAATGATGTTCTGGTACAAAAGGAAAAAATCTTCCACGGCCATGTGGATCTCGAGTGTCCATAGCTTTGACATTTACTTTTTCTAGGCACTTTCCCATTTCCACATCTTCTGCACCTCCATTATCTGAACGACACTTTGTTCTATCAGGTAAAGCTTCTTCCACAAATTTTCGTAAAGCCTCCTTGCTAAGTACATATCCTGCACCACCACTCATATATCCTTGTTTTACGAACGGTTTAAATCTACAGCCAAAATATAATGGCGAATTTGAGTCATAAGACGACAACATATATCGTAAATTCTCTACCACCACATACCTAAAACAGTTTAGCAAATTAATTCCAAAATCAAATGATTGAAGTTATAAAACACAAGCACAATTATATTAAAACATAATTAAAATTTCAAAATAGAGAATCCTAAATATTTAAGAAATCTACATTAAGTATATCATTAAATTCTAAATTCCTTTAAACATTAAAATATTTAAATCATTTCTAGCTTTATAATTTCATATTAATATATTGTATTATACTGTGTGTATGTATTATACATTATATTGTATTATACCTAACATTCTTCTATTTGCATACTTTGAATAATTTTTAACTTGTACATATGAAATATATGAAAAATAATTGTAATTTTTAAATATAATACATAAAAATTGCATATTCCCAAAGAATATATTACATAATATTACATGATGTATGTCCCTTTATTATAAGCAAAGAGATATCAAAAATTTAAATAGATATTGAAATTTTTAATAAAAATATTTTACTTTCATTAACACTAAATATAATAATCAAGAAAATAATTTGTTTTTCAAAAATTTGTATTATATAATATTAATCTAGAGATTCAATTCATATATACAAAAATATGTCAATACTTTGCATACAGTAGAAGCTATTTGAAATATAGAAGTTATATGAATCATTTTGTATGTAAATAAATAGAATTATATAAGTTTAAAAATATGACTTTAAAAATCTATGCTATAAGTAAATTTATACATATTTGATAAATAAGGAAAATAATTTTCTTTCACAAATATGAAGTGCAATATAAAAGACATTTAGCATACATATTTAGCTTATTTTTACATAAGAAATCACCTTTTTTATGATTCTATCATAATTTTCATCAGGTTTTACATAAATCATTTAAATTTTTAATTAGGATAGAATACTTACGTATCATCATCAGCCTTCATAAACCAATCAACTTCATCTTTGTACTTTTCATAAGCATATTTAAAAGCTTCTTTGGTTTTTGCCCACAAGTTATCTCTCCCTTCTTTTACTGGCAAAACAACTGTAGGTAAATTAGCATCTACAAAAATGTTTGACAATATAATTTAAGAAATGATTCTCTTCAATTGTTATTTATAATTACACTATTAAACTAGAATTCACCTTCTGCAGAGCTCATAAATAAAAGAATATTACAACGTTTTCCCCATGTTGCTTTTACATGTTGTGCTTTGCTCTTGTGATTTGCAGGACCAGTCATAATCCAACAGAGAACACGTACTTTTTTTGCAAGTTCTTGTGCAACTTTATCTTCATCTTTATGAAAATCTTCATCTCTACTATGAAATTTTACTTCTACTTCAGGTCCGACCTAGTGTATTTATTAGTAAGATTTAAAACTGATTAAAAGAAATATAAATCATATAAAAAGTAATTACCTCTGATTCGAATTCCGAATAATGATGTGGATCTCTTGAAAGCATAAAACCACTAGAAAACCAATTAAATATATATGGCACATTTCTTGTAGATGTTATTAAAAAGCACGCTGAGATAAATCCAAAAACAATGCCAGTAATGAGAGTTAATATAAAATGCTTACCACTTCTAACACCTATATAAAAAGTGAAATTTATACAACAGAAGACATTAAAGTTAATTTTCTTACATAATTTAATAATGAAATTAAATTATATTTTAAAATCACTTTACCATTAATGGTTGGAAACCTTTGCCGAACCATGATATATGACAAAAGTAAGCAAATTTAATTTACTTAAAGGACAAGTATTGAAATCAACATAATTTTATTTCCATTTGTGAGCACTGACATACACACACACTACACATTCAGTTACTGCAATATAAAGTATATGTCTTTTTAGCTTATACAATATCTTACAAACTTAAATATAATATCTACCAAGTAAGTAAATAATTACAAGAAAATAAGTATCTTATCAATAATTATGACCAATACATCTAGATACTCCTATAGATATAAACGTAAATGCAAAATTACACTATCCATTTTTAAAATATAATATGTATCAAGTAAAGATATTCATTAATGTGGTGATATAGATACTTATCAGTATATTAGTATTTTATCATTATTCATGATCAATATACTCAGGTGTTTATGTAAAAATATTCATTAATATGATGATATAGATACTTATCAGTATATTGTTATCTTATCATTATTTATGATCAATATACCTAGGTGTTTCTATAGGTATAAACGTAAATGCGAAATTACACTAACCATTTTTAAAGTAGAATATTTATTAGGTAAAGATTCATTTATATGAAGTTTCTTATATTAATCCATAAGACACAGATAAACGTGCAAACATAAATTTTCTTAATTGGCTAGACACTCACTATCACTAACTTGAAATACGTAGACACACGTGATAAAGGAAACGAAAAACATTATTGAAAAGTATTGAAGTGAGACACTCTTGCCTGTGGGCAGTTCCGGCTGTCTTCTTCTGACTTCTTACTACTTCCTATAACACATATTATCGTTCATTCGAGTTCCTCATAAATACTTCATTACTCACAACAATAGCTTGAGTTCGACATTGTCATGGATATATTACTACACTGATAAATTGCCTTCACTTACGTTCCACCTCCGTACTTCGTTTAAAAGAATAAAAAAAAGTTATGATTTATAAAACAAATTATATTTATTCATTAGTATATGCATTATATATGATTGTAGAAATTTGTGTAGAATGGTTGTTACAAACTTTTTTTTGCAATAATTATATATAATAATAGGGGTGAATCCATCTTTTGGGGGGGGGGGGGGGTGTAAAAATATATGAAGTAATCAGTAGTTCCTTGATCATATTTGTTGATTCATCTACCAATTCCTACAACTGCCTTGGCAAAGCAAAGATCTGCAATAAATGTAATCTCTTGTAAACGCCTGTCTATCATCCTTTAGTTTCAGTCTTTTACTTTTGCCCTTTGTACTTCTTCCGTAGTTCCTTCCACGACATTTTTAGTTTCTTAAATTATATGTATATATATATAGCGAATTATTAATAGCAGATCAGATTCTTGTACGAACTCACGACGTAAACTTTGAAAAACAAACTTCTTAAGTAGATTTTCAAAAATTGTGCATTTATTTCTACTATTCAGAACCGATCATTTAGTTCAGGATTGGATTAAGTGAAGTTAGATATTTTAGGGTTAAGGTACAGGAGGAGGATCTATGAAAAATAAATTGCTGAATTGTCTATAATAAATTATTTTAAAAAAATTCAAATAATAAAGCAGGAAAGTAATAAAAACGAAAATAATGAAGATAATAAAAATAACAAATGACAAGAAACTATAATAACAAACCAATAAAAAATACACTTCTGAATAAAGATATTTTGAATAATCACATGTTTTCCTTTCTCAAAGTTCTGTAAAAAACTGAATTTGATCATATTTATAAGAATTGATATACGCATAGCCCTGTTACTATGTACTCATCTAATGTACATATATGTATATGTAGATATTTTGTAAATTTTTATAAAAATCACAAGTTGTAATGTCTAAAATGAATTATTTCTTTTCCGTTGTACTTCATAATTTATATTCAATACTCTATACTTCAATTTTACTAACTTTCAGAAGTAGTTTCGTTTATAGTCGTATTTATAATATCACAAAATCTCAAACCTGAAAGCAGTGCTTATTTTATAAATATAAAATTTATTAATAATTTTAACACAGTACTTAATATTAATTTATTTTATTTAAATTTAATATAGAATTTGCTGTTATATTTGCAAATTAGATTAAACAAATTTATTATTGAAATCTACGCATTCTATAATTTATTGAAATTTTGTATTTTTTGGAAAAAAAATGGCAAAGGGACATTACTTTTTCAAGCACTTTCATTTTATATTTCTTATTGATATAAAATACAGCATTTTTTTAAAAACCGGGAAACAATAACTTGATTTATTAAAATAAGTTTCTATAAAGAAAAAATATACAATTATATGTACAAAAATATTGATGATTTTAAAAACTCCAAAACAAATGATTTTCAGAAAAAAATATTTTTTACAATACAATGGCTTTTTAAACCCTTCGAACTACACATAAAATATTTTTTGTACCATGGAGAAGATATGTATTTAAGTGGTCTTGTTAGGTGAAACGCTCTATACAATTATAAATAAGACATAACAATTATATATTTTATTATTTTCAAGCTTTATATTAAATTCAGACTAACTTTTTTCATATAGCTATTGGTACACAACATACATTCGATATGATGTGCATATACAATGCTCGATAGAAAAGTGTCAATATGAGAAAAATTAAATTCTGATTAAAATACATCAACATGACGGCTAACTATTACTTTGCAATTGTTGGGCATACCGATAATCCATTATTTGAAGTTGAATTTAATAATTCTGGGAAAGATGCAAAGGTCCGTACCTTTTTTTAGGTTATATTTAGATAGTGTGTAATGAAATTTTTTGCCTATTGTTACCAGCATTAGTAGTTAATTGTCATTAACATGCTACTAGAAAATTTGTATATATTTTTCATATTTTGTAATTATTAAAAATAGATACCATAATAAATGCAATTAAAAAATATCATTCCACTCACAATATTTGTAATATTTATAAATTGTAGTGTATAATATTTTTATTAGATTTTCTAAACTTAAAGTAAAAGAAAACAAAAATTTTATTTTTAAAAATTATGATACAGAAATAATATTATATAGAAATTTAATAATATACATATATATGTATAATATAGGGATAATGTTATTTATGTCATTATATTTTCAACAGAAAGAAGATTATACACATTTAAACCAATTTATTGCACATGCTGCCTTAGATCTTGTAGATGAACATACTTGGAAAACAACAAATATGCACCTAAAAGTTGTAGATAAATTTAACCAATGGTTTGTAAGTGCTTTTGTTACTGCAACTCATATCAGATTTATTATGGTACATGATAATAAAAATGAAGATGGTATAAAGAATTTTTTTAGTGAAATGTATGAAATGTACATAAAGGTAGGAAACATTGGAATGTTTGATGTTTCATCTAAAGTATTGAATGATTATATTTTCTATTCTTTATAGTATTCTATGAATCCATTTTATAAATTGAACACACCTATTAAGTCTATTGGCTTTGAGAAAAAGGCACAATTATATGGCAGAAAATATTTATCATCATGAATTTATGTTTTGTATTTCAAATATTCAAATAATAAAATGTAATATTATTTATATATATGTATTATTAAATTAAGCATATTCAAGAAAGTTATGTAATAATTTTTTAAATGTTTAAAAAAATATAATAAAGGCAATAAAATATTATGCAAATTTTTAATGTTTATAAATTATTTTCTTATTTAAGAAAGTGCTTGAAATTATACTTGTTAGTATAATCTTTAATATTAGTAAAATAATCTTTTATTATTCAATAACAAAACATTTTGATTATTATTGATAATTTATGATATACTTTAATTTTATTTTGTTTTACTGCATTGATTCTAAAATTATCTTTACAATGTTTCTCTTGTGTCTCATATATAATGTGTATGACAAACATGCACCAATTTTATATCATTTATTATTATTTATAAACATTAATCTAATTATACATATATAGATTATTTATATTTATATTAATTAAGGTGTTTTTAGGTACACAATATTGGGTATAAGTATAAATAAAATATTTCACTATTATATACAGTAGCCTACGAAAATATTCAAATGCCATGTTTCAACAGAATCCTTAACCCAAAAATCCTGATTTTAATGAAAGTTTGTGTACACATAAAGTATAACAAATTATTCATGCAACAACCTTTTTGTTGGCAGAAAATGACATTGAGGGGGTAAAATCAATGACTAAAGTTTTAACAATTTTCTTGATTCTCAAGTGGGATCTCATACGGAGAAATTTTTACTATAGAGTGATAGAGCACCAAAAGTTAAACATTTTGTATTCAAAAAGTTCTTCTTTATCTCCCAACTTTATACGGTTACATTTAAAAAACCACAGATTGGACTGTAACTTCGAACGATTTCGCCTACATGAAATGTTTCGTTCGAATACTTTTGTGAGCCACTGTATGTGACAAAATAGAATATTATCTGAACCAAATATGTTTTACTGTTTGATATAAATATTAACAAATAATAAAATTGGAAATATAAACTTTTTAATATACTCATTTTATTAATTTTGTTAATGTTATATCGAAATATTTCTTCTATAGGAAAAAGAAAAATGCTACATACTAAATTATTATTTTAAAGCCATGTTAATTTTATATATAATATATAATTTAATGTCACATAAAGTATTTATAAAAAAAATTAAATTAAATTTGTTATAAAGTGTTGAGATTTATATATATAAGAATATATGTAAATATATGGTACTGCATAAGTTAATATATATGTAATGTTTAAATATATCTAAAAAGTAAATAATTTTATATTTACTAATGAATTGATTAATGCATTGGTTTTTCATTAATTTTGATAATTTTTAAATATATAGTAAATAATAATATTTTGTATGTTTTTCCTTTATATATAACTGGCAGTTGGTCTTTGTTTCCAAAATATTAACAATATTTTTTTGATATTATCTTATTATTTAACAAAAAAAAATGTTTACATAATAATTTGTTAACTCGTAATCAAATAATATATAATTTAAATATATTCATTTTAACCCTTTGTAGTCCAACCGTATTCGAGATTGAGATTGTATGCGTACAAATTAAATGTTTGAAAAATTTTATACCTTATAAAATAATATTATGAAAAATACTTTGTAATTATTAACATAAATTATTTCAATAATATTTAAATTAATAGTAACATTCATATTAGCAAATATGTTGTTATTAGACTTTCTAAATGTTTGGTACAAATTTTATTACCAAAATATTACTAAATTTTATGGTGAATTTAGTTATCAAATGTATTGCTAATAAAGCTATATTAAAATTTAAACTGACGCTTGAGATTGTAAATTACAAATTGTACGTATAATTTCAGTTGTTTTTTTTATGTTTTCAAATGATTAATTTATTTAAATTTCTATTATACTTAAAAACACCCTATGTATATATTTTATTTGTGATATGAATTCTGTTATAAAAGATATTCAAAGAAATTGAACAGTAAACTTTGAATTTCTGATATTTTAGAAGTATTCCTGATTTTTTGTATTTCAAATACATTGCACGTGTTTTGTATAATTTATTTATATAATATTTATATTATTCGAAAATTAACAGTAAAATACGTAAATATGTAAATATTAAAATTGACTAATGACTAAAATTTCTTGTATTAATTGTTAATATTAAATAAAATATTTCTTATAATACTTTAGGATTAATTATACATTATTAGTCTTTGTATTTCAAAGAATTTATGATTAGACATTATCTATTGTATATTATTTTCAATAATTAAAATTTTTTAAACTTTCACAAAATAAGCTGTATAAAACAATAAAATAAATATATACAATAGAAACTTTCCATTTATGCATATATCATCTTATAAATACTTTTTTAATTTAAAGAACATGTGTTTTGAGATTATATTTACATATATGTATTTCTTTACTTTGTAATAAATAAACATATGTTTACTTTCTAAAATTTTTAATTTTTTTTCTTTTTTAGTGTTACAGGAGTATATTAATTAACTGGAATTTTTGAAAACAATGTTTCTTATATATTCTATATACTCTGTATTTTTTATATTATTTTTGGATAAAACTAATGTAAATGGTTTAGGTAAGTAATATTATACATTGTAAGTCTTTAATTTATTACTGAGTGAAAAATATAAATGAAATATATTTACAGAACCCAATAACATAGTCATCATAATATTAGATCAAAAAGAAGGTTACCATGCAGCACATGCTGAAATGTTAAAAAACAGTATTTTTGAACAAGCAAATGCTCTTGATAAGGTATATATAATTGAATATAATTTAATGCTTTTATTTTGCATAATCCTATTGTTATATTAGAATATATCATGTATAATATACAAGTTTGTACAAAATCAAAAGTATTTCTTTTTAGGAATCTTCTAAAATTATTTTATCTCATGAATTGAATATTAATGGATCTTGGACAATAATACCACTTTTGCATTATTTATCAGATACATATCCAACTTCAAAATGGTTTTTCTTCTGTCTAGAGAATACTGTAATTAGATTGAATAAATTGTTAAATATTCTATCCAAGTTCAAAGAAGATAAAGTATGTTATTCTTCTTTTAAAATGTGTATTTATTTTTACAATAATTATATTGTTGAGAAATGATATAAATTTAGAAAATGTTTATATTAGAATTTATGGATTGGTCATGCATTATATGATCACGAACCAACTATTATACATCATTTTGCAGAGCATAATAAAAAATTTAAATATCCACATATAGCTTCAGGTTTTGCAATAACATCAGCTTTATTAACAAGGTATTCTATATGAATATTTTACTATATAATACAATTTTATTTAAAAATCATATATACTATAAAGATTACATTTTCAGCTTAGTACATAAAATTACTAAAGGTGAGAGACCTAAAGATGATTTCTCAATTGATACATCATATGAATTTGCATCTTTTGTTTCAAAAGTTAATAAAAAGTTACAATTAACACACGTACCTGAAATATGTATCATATCGAATTCTGATTGTGCTACATACCCAAGATTTTTTCATCCATGTGTAAGTTAATATTGCTCCATATCATTTGTATTATTCTGTTTTCTTTATTTTTTAAATTTTGTATTGATATAATTGTAAATTATAATTATAAATTATAATCGAAATAATAATAACTTTAACTACTTTTGAATGAAGGGTTCATCTGTAACTGTTGAAAATGTATATTTTGCTGTTAAAACTTGTGCAAAATTTCATGTTGAGCGGATTTCTGTAATTAAAAGAACATGGGCAAAATATGTAACAAATATTGGTTATTTTAGTGATACTGCTGGTATAATCATGTTTATTATATAATTAATTAAGTAATGATCATTTTTATTAATTATCAGTAGAGTAATATGTTTTTTTTAGTATAGATAAATACCTACCTGATGCTTACATTGTACCAAATACAACACAAGGACATTGTGCAAAAACATACAGTATTTTGGAAAAAGCAGATAAAATATTAAAATTAAAAGATTTACATTGGTTAATAATCAGTGATGATGACACAATTTTTAGGTATGTATTTCTATTTATAATATATAAATGTATGCACTTGAACATTATAATAAATATTAATGTAATGCTTTTTTACTTAATATTAGCGTGGCACGTTTGTTACACTTATTAACATGCTATAATTCAAATAATCCACTTGCTATTGGAGAACGTTATGGTTTCCAATTGTGGGACAATTATGGATATGAATACTTAACGGGTGGAGCTGGTGTTGCTTTATCTGCACCTTTGGTCCATGAAATGATAAAATCGGGTAGATGTAATTGCCCATCATCTACAACTCCAGATGATATGTATCTGTTTGGTATATGTCTAGCACATGTTGGAGTGCAACCTATACATTCACCAATGTTTCACCAAGTATGTTAAATAAAACTATTTGCTATTAATATACAGTCATCTGTAAAATAATTTGGCTGGAAGGATTTTATAATCTCATTGAAAAGTTTAAAAATCGTTTAAAATTAAACTTAAAAGTCGAAAAAGTTTAGTACATTAACAGAATATTTGAAATAATATGTTAAAAAACCCCAAAGACTTTTGATATGTGTCTACAGAAAAATGTTATAAAATATTAGTTATTGAAGTATGCTCATTATCAAATATAATATATATATATAAAATTATATTTGTACACACACATGTGTACACAAGATGTATTTGCCTTTGTACTTTGTTGATTTTACTACAATATTACGAAATCTTTCTACAATTATTATATGTAATGTAGCAAGCAATGTAACACCAATGTTATGCCCAATTTAAATACTATAAGAAAAGATTTGCTTGAAATCACTTTTCTTGTATTATTTATATTCTTTTAAAAAACTGGTGAATTAAAATTTGTCTAGCCAAAGATTTTTGCATATCACTGTATATTGAATTTATTGTAATTTGCCATTTTATTTATTTAATTAATAGCTGTAGATGATACAATAATACAAAAGAAAATAAAAAATTAAGATTATGTCAATATTTTCATAAGTATTTTAAATAATTTCTTATTGATTTATCTAGGTTTACAAAAGTCATTTTAAAAACATGAAATCAAAATATAATTTATATGTTGAAGATGTAATTTTAAAGCATATGTTTATTACAGGCACGTCCTTCAGATTATGCAACTGCATATCTTGCTTCACAAGATCCTATATCATTCCATAAATTTTGGCTGATCGAGCCCCAAATGGTTTATGATGAATGGTTTGCAGAAGCAGACAAATCTTTAATCACAGTTAAAAAACATATGGAATTATAATATTACTATAGTTTATTTATTTTATAAATACTTAATAATAATGGAAATATATAGAAATAAAAATTAAATAACGTCAAAATGTAATATGTATTAAAATTATTAAAATTTGTATTAAAGAAGGAAGCGTTTACTGTGCTTATATGGTGGACTGAAATTTGTGATAAATCTATAAAAATAATATGTAATAGCATAAATGAAGTTGAAATGATATAATTAATTACTGTGATCAAAATTTCTTTTTTAGTAGAGAATTTAAAAATAAGTTGAATATATATTTCTAATTATATAATAACAATACTAATAATGAACGAGTTATTCAATACAATTTATTATGTTATAAGCCTGTTATAATTTTTAAGTTTTTTTTTAAATAACTTTTCATGGAATTAATCCTATTTCTTTCTAAGTTAATCTTTTCATGCAATTAACAATAATAGATACTTAAGTTTTACATGATTGACTAAAAATGCTAGATTTTGAATTCTTTGTGAGTTATTAGTTCATAAAAATTTGAGCTTTTATATTAAAAAAAGAATAAATAAAATACAAGAACTTTTTATCATTTCATGAACATCTATTTATTTATTTTCTCTTAAATTTCTTTTCTAATTATGTTATGAATTTCAGCCTATCTTATAAATGTATTTTTTAAAGATTATATTCCAAATAAATAGAATTACATTTTATATGAATTTTATAATAAAGTTTTATTGTCTAAATGTATAATTTTCATAATAGAAAATATTAAAAATATAATAACAAAGAACATTAATTACACATTATGTACATATCATAATTTTGATCGTACTATTTCTCTCCACCATGATGGTCGTTCAAAGTTTTCTTTGTCCTTAAACATTTCTCTTTTAATATATTTGTATACCTATATGCAAAATAAATTTTAAAAATTATAAATTCAAAAGCAAAAATGAAGGAAATAACGTACCTGACCATCGGCCATTCCCAATGGAGAATTTAGTATAAAATCTGGTGGTGCTAAAACATCGACTAATGCTACCGCTTCTCGAACTAATTCTTTACACAAAATTATAATGCCTTCCCTTAATAATCTATCCATATTACTCTTGGATGATGCATAACCACCAGCATAAAAGTCTCCTAATCTCTTTTCTAAAATAACTGCTCCATAGAGTGAACATAACTTTGTTAATACATTGCGTTCTTCTGATCTCCATAAAGGATTTTGTATATACTCTATAAAGTACTTCATTATCACATGCTACAAGAAAATATTAAATCAATTAATGGAAAGATTATCCCATAATTATGAAAATAAAATATTACCTGTCCATATAATAAAGATAATGTTTGTGCAAAGAATACTTGTGTGTTATTTCTAACTTCAAAATCATCACAACCTTCGCGTTTTAAACTTTGTGTCCGTTCATATGTTCTTTTTAAGTAATAACATATTAACCATGTAAAAGATAAAAGTAAATCTGTAAAAAATAAATATTAAATAAAATCATAAATAATGAATAATGTTTCCATTACTTTCATACTTTCTGGTTTTAATGTTTCATCAATTGTCGAATGAGAAAAATTTTGCATTAAAGTATTATTGGCATCTTTTAGGAAATCTGCTGTTTTTAAAGGAGAATTTATGGGTTTTCCACTGAGTATGTTTGACCACTGATTCAGTAACCAATTGCTAGCTTGCTGAATTAATACATTGTTTTCGCCTTCAAATGTACAAGTTACATCATTTTCAGCTCTTAGGTCGCCCAAACGTGAAACTAACAATTAGAAATAAGAATTAAATAATTTGGAAGCAAAATACAAATTTTTCTATCACATTTAGCTTATGATTAACATACTTTTAAGATAACCATGTCCTCCACAAGACTCTCTGCAATCTTGAATAATATCTCGACTAGTCCACGAACATACTGGCTTTGTTGCAGAAGATAGTGCATGTATTTCCATACCTTCACTATCAATATTATCTTGATTTTTTGCAGTTATAAGTTTCAAATTAAATTCACACATTTGATTTACAAATGCAACAGAAAATATTTTTAAGGCATATGTTGCTGCCAAGTGAGGAAATAATCGCCATTGCTACATGTTTATGTTAAATTTTAATTGTACGACAATTTTATTTGGTAGATTTTCATTCGACTCATTTACCTGTGCTTGATACTCTATAACCGGCCATTCTTCAAATTCCGATGGTCCAAATTGTTTCCTTACCGCACAATATCGTATAGCAATGGTTATTGCAACAGATGCAAAATTTGCGCATATTGATGTAATGGTAATACGTCCTGAAGATAATGCACCCAAGGATGCACCTATGTCAATTTAAATTTGCTATTAAAATTTGTTATAAATGCTGAAATTAGATTGAAACTAATATATAATATCTTTGAATTCTTACCAAATCTTTTGCTTTTGTTTTTCACAGATGCTATATAATTTCCATCTTCAGTAACATCTGCTGTTCTATTTAATAAACATGTTCGAGAAATAAAATAATTGTTGAACATCATAAATCCATTATCCACTCCATTTAATGCAATTTTTTCACCCATGTCACCAACATTGACACTTGGATAAGGTATATGGGTATCTGGATCTCGAATAGGTACGATAAAAGTATGAAGACCATGATTTTGTTGATCGGGTGTAATTAATTGTGCAAATACAATAGCATGTGTTGCAGTTTTTCCTGAAGGTATATAAACTTTTTATTTTATATTACATGAAGTATATTTTTGTTATAATAATTACCTAAACCACCAATCCAACATTTTGCAGCTTCAAAGTCAGGTGTATTCAAGATGAAACTCTTTGATTTCACATCATACGTAGCTGTAGTTCTTATTCCTTTTGCATTTGTTCCATGAGATACTTCCGTCAGTGCAAAACAACATGTATACTAAATATCAAATATTGATTAAAATTAATTTTATTAAGATCGTGGAAACTTGAAAAATATTAAGCATTTGAAACATGTGTCATTAAATACTTACTTGTCCTTCTTGAATTTTTTCTACAGTGTCATAATGGTTTTCAGTACCTAAAGCAAGAATTGTACTCGGTACCATACCATCCATCACACCCATTTTTATCGGTATAGAGGCTTCGTATTGAAACATTATATTAAACCAATGTGTATGTGTTAATGGATTCTGTAGAAAAAAGGTATGTGACTCATATAAGTAAAAGTTAATTGTTTCTTTTTCTATTTGTTATTGTTAATAATATATACTGCAATACTGTTATCCCTTAATGCTCGAACACGAGCATTACAAAGTTTTCGTTGTTCATCTAATGTACGACAGATATGCCTTTGAAACACTGGTGATTTTTTCATAAAATTCCACAAACTTGTCTGAAATGACAAGAACATTTAATGTATTATTTAAAACTTTAAAGTAATATATTATTAAATGTTCTATTGTGATAAAATCTTTTCCTGAGTACCTGAAAATTCACAAAATCCTCTCCTTCTAAGTTGAATTTCAACAATTTCCAGTCAAATGTTGCACATTTTCTATAAGGATCTAAAGGACCCTTTGGTAAATCAGGTATTGTATCCTTCATGTTAACTTCTCAATTAGAACACACCTATGTAGTTAAATAATGATTAACTGTGTGCTTGATAGAGTATTTTGTTTTCTGTTTCTTAACACGTTGATTGCCGCGTCACCCAGATATGAGTAACACGTAAGTTTTCGCAAACGGTATGTAATCTATAAGGGGTTTTACTACTTTTTAATAAGACTAAATACGATATATGTATATAGTATTATTACTAATGCAATATAAATAGATAAGCAACTTTATAATTATTTTATGTAGTAATCTTTAAAATAATCGAACATAATTGCAGTGTTTTAGAATATGAATTGTCTTAAAATTTTTTCTTGCTTCTAAACCGTTCTTCTGATAACAAAGAATGTGTACAATTACATATTGAATTTAACGTGGAAGTTTTTGTAATCATTAAATTATAAGTTTAAAATCTTTTTCAGAAAATTTTGATAATTTTAAAAGATCCCTGCTATTTCAATATTCTATTTTATTATCGATTTATAAATGATATTTGTATTTACGACTGTCAACATATTTAGAAACTAATAATGACAGTACTCTGCAGACGTCAAATTGAAGATATCGGAGGACGAGAGATATTGATTTCTATCAGAAGATTATTCAGATTAGATAAGAGATTGGAAAATTAAGTACAGGTATAATATAACATTTGTACATTATATGCGTATAGAATGTTATTGTATATATCAATGACATAATAATTCACATCTTGGTCCTGTGAATTTTTACGCAATTTTTGTGTAACAGTCAACGAATGTATTTATTATTACACAATATTTGTTATTACTTTCACATTTTTTTTCCTTTATAGCTGTTTTTAGATAATAAATTTCACCTTCATATAAATAAATATAATTTGTACTCACAAAATATAAATAAAAATTGTAAATAATTGCTCGTCGAAAAGTTCAACATATACTGTGCATGTTGACTTACTCGACTGTTAATAAAGGCCCACTTGCGTATGAATAATATACTGGTAATAAAATGTGATTTAATAAATTGCGATCTCATTAATCGTGGATTACTTTGAAAACAATTTGATTACATCAATTAAAGTATAACAAAGACTTTCTTTCACGCAAAACAATAATTATTTGTATATTTATTTCTTATCAATTTGTTAAATTGCACATGAGCATGGATTAAAATTTTTTAAAAAGGCAGTAAAACTATTAGATAAAATGTTAAATACAATATTTGTTATGTGATTATATATTAATATAATTATATTATAACAATTGTTACAATAACGTAACTCCAAAATGTCACGAAATTTTTATATAATTATTGCGTTTCAAATACTTAAATCGTATGCCATTAATGTAGAACTGTTAAAGCGCCATTGTAAAATCTATTAGAAAGTCAATTTTACACATTTCGAGAACGTTTCAAACATATAATTTGAGGCATTTCTATACAAGGACTAAAAGCTTCGTTATAATATCAATTTAGTACTGTCTCTTTTAAAAGTATATATTGTATTCTTTGACAACAAATTAACCGTAAGTTAATCTTTATTAACACAATTGTTACCAATTAAGATGAAAACTTAATACGTTATAATTTTAATGAATAGCTTTGTAAAGAGAGTATCAATTCGTAGATGACTTATAATCCAAGATTTATAGTGCTTTTTTACAAGACGCGTACGACTCTAAATGCAGTTGTATCAATGGGTGTTGCCACTTAATGCTTTAATTTACGATCGCACTGTACCGATTTTACCGACGACGATATATATATATATATGCACGTAGTTTGGCGATCATTTTTGAATCTTAAATTGCAATTGTATCGCATTATAGTACGTATAGATTTTAATTCTCGTACCGTGTTTTCTTTTGTCATTTGTAATATCCAAAATCGTCGAAATCGTTTAAACACTTGCTATTTTCTTAGAGATAGAAAATTATAGTAATGTGATTAAAGAAAATAAAAGCGACTTTGAGATCATCGGAAACGTTTCACTTATAGAAAAAGTCATAAGTTTTTCATTACTTTATATTATAGATCCTCGGATATTATACAACGTATATAATATTTTCCCATATCTCTAAAAGTAACGAAAATATCGAAGATGGCAAAAATTATTGGATCACCTTGCATATTATAATAATTATAATGTATAGAATGCATAAAAATCATATAATGCGTGAAAAATTAAAAAAATTATGTACTAATGTGGTAAGAAATGGCACGAAAATAAGAGTAATATTACACAAAGATTGTCATAAATGCTATTTACTTGTACCTCGTTTCAAGATACCACGTATCATTATAATTATAAACTGTTTACGTAAAAGTATTTCGTTTGTTTCGCACCTTTTTTTTATATTTTGTTTGATTTTTGCATTATCATATTTCGTATATTTTTTTAATATAAGGCATTTAAACAAACGCATTTGATTTGTTTTGCATCGTATTTTGTTTGCTATCCATTTATTTTAAGAAAAATTAAGCTAGAATTTTATCCAATTTCAGATTTGTTATAGGATATACGTCTTAAGCGCATCTATCAAATGGGAAATCGTGTGAAAAGTCTTTTATTCAAAAATAAATATCAGTTTATTCAATTTCCGTCACGACTGAAATAAATTATAAAGACTATACTTGCGTATAAAATATTTTTATAATTTAAATATCCGATGTTACATATCATTGTTTATTTCTACGTATCTTCCTGTTCCCTGTCCTATTCTTATTAAATTTTGATTATCGAGTTTTTTATCCTAAAAGCATTATATATGTATGTAAGTAACGTTTTCTAAGTTAAACGATATTCGTACCAACTAAAACTTCATCTACTTTGTAGGAGCTACAGTATTTGCAACATTCTATGACTGCTTCACGATCGAAAATAAATCGAACCCATCGTGACCTTTTATTTAAAATTCATGTATACACGATTACTAAATTGCATTTACATTATCGATTTCATTACTTATCTAACTTAATTCCCTGGCAAATGAGATTATTGAATATTCCATTTCATCGTATAATCGAAAGAAGAAATTAAAAAGATCGATGAGTCGATATAAAGCGGTTTAATCGGAAGTTCCGTTGCAATTTTTAATAGTAAAAGCCAGGAATGTTACTTGTTATATTGTTTCTTCAGATCGCATTGATATCTGGTAAAAGGTATAGACACTGATAAATTAAAATTATTTCAGTCATTCGATCTGTGGTATGTGATATTTAAATTAACATTTTAAATTTCACCTACTTTGCGTGATAAATTATTACTAGTAAAGTAGAAATTGAACAAACTCAAGTTCGTAGGAGGAACATAAATTGAACAGTGAAAAAATTGTAATTGATAAAATTCTGAGTAATTACCAATTTATTTAATTTGTATTGTACATTTAATTATATAAGAATTTATATTATTAATTTATATTATATTTATATAATTTATTTATAGCTATATAAAGGAAATAGAGAAATATTTGTTGTAATATTCGTTAATAAATCAGCATATCAAATGATTGAATAATTGGATAATTTTAAACAAGATTACACTTAAATCAACTTAAAGTGATATTACTAGACTTCTAAGAAAAAATATCACTTTTATAATTTACTTCTTCACAAACTCTTTAACCATTAGTTTTGCTTTGCATTAGTATTCGATTGGTAATAAATCGATTTGAAATTCGGAATCGATTTATTTTTGTTCTATAATACCAAAATTGTGATAAAAGTTAGCGATATTGTGTATACATTTGAGAATTTTTTGAAAAATTAAAGTTTAAAAAGTTCAAGTTTGTAACTTTTTTCGGTTATTAATTTTTCAGCATTCATTCTTTTGACAATTTTATAATTTTTAATTTCTCTTTCGGAAAGATAACTCACAGCAGAAAAGACCGAATAAAAGTGAATCGAAAATACAGTAATATATTTTCAACGTTAAAGGTTTATTGACTTTTTTCTTTTTTATACGGAGTGGGTGAAAAATCGTAGTACAACCGACCAAGAGTAATTCTATCTTAAAAAGGTAAGGAAAAAATGTGGTATATAATTTTTTCATCCGAGGCTTCGTCTTCGAGAAAATCGTATTTGAAATATGCTCAATTACACTATGCAATTTCCTTATCTTTTATCATATTACTTTGCTCATTTTAGTGTTTATAAACTTTGATAATGATATTATATGATATAAACATGATATGATAAGGTACTCTAATCTAGAATATATTGTCAAGTTATCCGCTTTGGGAGGATGTGTGGTAACATTACGTAGTACATCCTGGCCGGTTGAGCACGACTTTTCATTCACCCTGTATAGAAATTTGCTATAGAAATTTACTGTATAGAAATTCACTATAGAAATTTATTATACAATAGAAATTCATTTAGAATCATTTTAGAATCAATTTTGGGAGGAGGAGGGGGGGGGGGTATCGTATAAATGTGGTTTTATACGATAATTTTCACATATAATTAATTTTATTTAATACTTAAGATGAAATGAAATAAAATAAATGTAATTTGTTTGTAGATATGTTTCCTATGCTATCTATCATAATATAGGAAATACAAAAGAGATAATACTGTTCAAATTTCCATTTTAAGTCAAGTAAAGGAATTTAATTTACAGTGGTTGATCTTACAACATCATATTTTTGTCTCAAGTACCTTGCACATTCTCTACGTTTAAGTTTCTTAATTATGTCGCATCCTTGTTCCAATAAAATTGTCGATGCTAATTGTTTCTGTTTTGGCAACGTTGTGCCAACTTCGTAGTGAATCACTGTGAATAGATTTCAACTTACAGAAGCAGATAAACACTTAGTACGTTTACATATATGATATTGTAATTGGAAGTATACTACCTGTATAATAAGATCTTCAAATAACGGAACGTTTACATAACGGGTGTTTATAAAACAGTGTTTATATAACTGCTGTACACTTTCCTTATAAGTTGCTTTTTCAAAAAAGATTTCCAATTTTTGTTATGTGCTACTTTTTCGTATCTCGTATCATAGTAATATCTGATCAATATCGAAAAAAGTCGATAGTACATTCCGAATTTCTTAATTCAGTTGAGTACAGTTTAGATTACTTAAACAACGAATATTTAGTTTTTAATCAGTAAAATTAATTGCAATGCCTTAATAAAATTTTCCCGATTAAAAATTTAAAAAAATGAACTCGTTTACGATATCATTTTGAGTTAAATGTAATCTATATTGCATAATTTCATTAATTTAATATTAATGAAACATTATTGCATCATTGTGAGTTCACCTTGTAGTTTTTAAAAGTGATCGAGTAATAGATTGAAGAAAAACGTAGCAGTTAGATAAATGGAACGTTACTGTATATTTGAAGTAGTAACAGAATTACTTACATACAAATTTAAAAGACTTTAGAATATATTTTATAATTATTTAGTTAGGTTCGCTTTATTTCATAGACACTAAATATTTTGACTTGGATTAAATTGTTTCTTTTTATTACGTCCTCTTAGCACTCCAAATATATACTTTTCGGATTATACACATTAGAGAATGCAATTATTTAATGTAGAAATGAAAATTTCGTTTAATAATTATTTTTAATTTATGCAACACTAATAATTCTGTTATTAGCGTGAGTCTGATTATTAAAAATTCGTAATTATAACGATTAAGAATTTTAAATTATAATTAGTTTGGCATTTAGAATTTATAAACTAATTTAGAATCAACATTTTAGTTTATAATATATTATGTATAATTAACATGGTAAATATTTAAAAATTATTTATAAAATTGTCTTAGCGCGTTTTATAAACAACAACAATGTGAGGATAGTGACAAAAACTTGAAATCCGTTATTAAAGAAATCGTGGAAGAAATTATAGAACAAACAAATTGCATTATTTTTGTTACCGATTCTGTTTATCGAAACCTTGTAGATATTAAAGGCAATAAAGGTTCCTCAACTATATCCAAGTATGAGGTAAGATATTCAGACTTGTTCATTTACTGTATATAATTATTTATTATGTACATTACAGATTTTATTACGCGATAATGAAGAATTTTTGCGACCAAGGAGACGAATTAAAAGAATTTTGATCGATGGTAAAAATGTTGATTGTAGCGCATATGTTATACTAATCGCTAATGGATTATTAACATCGGAATTTTTACAATACACAGAAAGGTAAATACGTGGAGGTAAAGCCTACGTATTTTTTTTTTCATAAATTTTTGGGCCGTTTATGTCTACTTATTTTAAAGTACAATGAGTAGAAAAAGTATTCATTAATTTTCATACGTACTCCTGTTTAAAATATATTTTGTCAGGTATAAATGATTTTCTATGAAATATAAAATCAATATAATTCGATTGCATGATAATATTAACGATTAAAACCATTAGGAAATAAATATTTCTACAATTACACGTTTTTATAATTTACTTACTATTATATAATAATTAATATTCAGAGAGATACTTTTTTGCTTCAGTAAAGACTTTTAATCGCTTTGGTATTGAGACAATTAAATTAGTTGTTACAGTTCGATGTTTTCTCATTATGTTTTGTGCATAGTGGAAGTAACTCTTCAAATCAGGTTTATTTAAAATATTCGAATGTATTATCTACTATTGAATTAATATTCACTTGAATCTTAAAATTTCTAACAAACGTGGAACTCTGCACTGGTACCATTTTTGAACTAAATGAAATTTATATCCTGAAAATGGTAACGATTCGAAATATTAGATTTTACAACACTTTACTTCAATTTATTTTTAGGATATTTAGATATATATTTTCATCCATAATTTTATTTCTTATATCTAAATTTTTTACTTTACATGCAACCATGCAACCCCATAACAAGATGTTACCAGTGCATTCTGTTATTGATTAAAAGTTCATCGTAATCTTTCGTCTCTTTTTTGTTATACCTTCTATTACCTGAAGAATTCTGCGATTTCATTTATATAACTTCCTTTTTTAGAATTTCTTCTATCTCTAATTTAAAATTTAAATGTTCCTTCTAGCCTTCGTATGGTATCCACAGTATTTGTAGTATTTATTAATTATTATTTTCCATGTAATATTACTTTAAATCGCTACTCCTAATTCTAATGAATATCTAAAAACATTTTCAAGTGGATTAATTGTTTAATAAATTTATGAATCTTTAACTTTTCGTACGCATTTTAATGCTCTGCCAAATCAATGATCGTTATGGCGTCACGAGTTATGCATGCAGATTACTTCCTTCACGAGATTCTAAAGTCCGTGTTAACCACATTATTATACGATTCTATCACGTATAATTCGCTTCCAAGTTAATATTAAATAATTAATTATACAAAAAGCGTAAGTAAATGACTGTGTACTTCGTTGTATCGAACAAAGGATGCTTTGTTATCCACAAGTTAAATGGTTTCGAACATTTGACGTCGTAAGATCGTCTAATGTCAAAAATTGGAAACTCATGATGATTTTGTTTCGTATTCAATGGCGAATACTGAATCATGATGGAAAGGAAACATTTCCTTGGATAGTGAAAGTGAAAAATTCTCTTTTAAGACGAAACGCTTGAGTTTTTCCATTTATCATGCTCAATGATGACCGTAATGACCTATGTCGAAATTTCTCCGAACATACAATTATTTGAAATATCGGACAATCATAGAGTAATCTTAACTTTAATTTAGTAATATTATATAGACACAATCAATTTAACAAGCTAAGATTTTCATTATTATGTGAATGGAGTATAATTATAATATTTTTGTTCTGTTGTGGTTGCTTTTGTTTTGTACTCTTTATCATCCGTCTTTGTTTTTTTTTTTTTTTTTTTAAAATCATTTTTACTACAAATTTAAATATACTATACAAATAAAAAGATACATTGATTGAATTTCACTTAATATTATAGTTTAAATTATATTTTTCTATGAATAATACTAACATATAAATACTTTGTTTCCAATGCATTTAGCATTCTGCTGCTATATTTGTTTTATATTTTGTAACAAAATATCAATAGCCAATAAAACATATTTTAAGTGAAAGCTAAGTTGTTGTAAGATATTTAGGCACTGTATATCTTATTGTATAAGTTTCTACATAATTTATACATAATTATCAAGTCATGAATGAATTCATACTGATATTTTACATTTATCTTATTTTATTAATAAATTTAGTATCTGAAATACTAAAAGCTATATTTGATTTCTTATTTTCAGAGAACGTTTAATTAATACACGTGGATTATTTTTACTATTATATGATTCACGTTTATTTCAACCAAATTTATATTACCTCTGGAATAGGATAATTAATGTGATTTTTATTCGCCGATACAATGCATACAAGTATCGTTCTGGTGAGAAAGCTTTCAAAGAAAGAATTGATTTGGATACCATCTATTTCCCTGCTCAGAGAAGAATATTTACCGCAACAAAGTATTTAGATACTTGGTACCAAGGCAAATTACGTTATGGTATCAACCATTTTAAAGAAAAAACTATCAACTTACAAAAAAAGCACTTACAGTTTGTATAAAAGAATTATAATATAACCATAATTAGAATTATTATTTGAAAAAGAAAAGTAATAAACATTGAGTGTGTATTTCAGAATTGCTATATTTGAACATATTCCAGCAGTAACAAAACAATGGAGAACATATTATAACAAATCACCAAGTAACAAGATAGAAGCTTTAGGAATAGAATTTGAGGTTTGTATTATATTTAAAGCTTATTGCTTTATATTTGTGTTACTTTATATTTTTCAGTTAATACAGATCATATCAAAAGCAATGAACTTCAAACCAAAATATTATATGCCACATAATATAGCTTTGGAAAGATGGGGCTCTAAAGATAATAATCAAACTCACACTGGACTTATAAGCGAAGCTGTACAAGGAAAAGCTGCATTTTATTTAGGTGATTTACATTATACCTTGCATCACCTGGATTATTTTGATCTCACTATCCCGTACAATACTGAATGTCTTACTTTTCTAACACCAGAATCATTAACTGAAAATTCATGGAAACTTCTAACACTTCCATTTAAGTGAGTATAAAATGAAGAAAACGTAATTAATAGATAAAATATATGTATCTTGTTTTTTAGATTTTATACCTGGATGGCTCTTGTGCTCACTTTAATTTTAGGAGGTGCTGTATTTTATTTTTTGTCACTATCTTATAAAAAGCATATAAGTTTATACAAAAATCAAATACATATTCAAAATGCATCTATGAAGACAGGAATAAAAGGATTATACTTATTTACTGAAATAGGAAATAGTATTTTACATACTTATAGCATGCTATTTCAAGTTTCTCTACCAAACTTGCCAAGCCCTTGGGCTATACGAGTATTAATTGGATGGTGGTGGATTTATAGTATTTTAGTTGCAGTTGCTTATCGAGCTAGCATGACTGCAATCCTAGCAAATCCAGTTGCCAGGTGAAAATTATTTTAATAAAATAATTTATATCATAGCTATGATATTGTATGCTTAACACATTGCTGCCTTATATAATTTAATTTTAATAACTTTAATCATAAATGTTAATTAATTAATTAACATATTTGAATTATGATTTGAATACAGAGTCACTATTGATACACTAGCACAATTAGCAAAAAGTTCTATAGAAGTTGGAGGCTGGAATAACGAAAGTAAAGATTTTTTCTTAAAATCTTCAGACCTTAGTAGCCAAGAAATTGGTAACAAATATAAATTAATTGAACACGAAGATGAAGCTATTGAGAAAGTAGCAAATGGTTCTTTTTGTTATTATGAGAATTCTTATTTACTTCAACATGCTCGTGTGAAAAGACAGATATTTGAAGAACAAAGGGAAAGTAAAACTACAGAGGACATATCATCAAAGCATAATTTACATATTATGGAAGAATGTGTCATAAATATGCCAGTAGCTCTTGGTATGGAAAAAAATTCACCATTGAAACCACAAGTTGATACATTGGTAGTTATTCTTTTTTTTAAGTTATAAAATTATCAAAAAGAGATATTACTAATGTGTCCTATATAATGTATCTTCTTAGATAAGACGTATAATAGAAATTGGATTAGTTGAAAAATGGTTAAGTGATGTTATGGAATGGTCAAAAATTATGGAAATACGACAAGAAGCAGAGTCAGAAAAAGCACTTGTTAATCTTCATAAATTACAAGGTGCATTTATTGCTGTTATAGTTGGTTATCTATTAGCTTTTATAATTTTAATAGGTGAAATTTTATATTGGAAACATATTGTGTCAAAAGATCCAAAATTTGACAAATATCATTTAGATATATTTTATAATAATACTAATAACTCTAAAATATAAATCTATAATTTATATTAATACATTAATTTTTCAAAAATATAGAAGAAGTAAATTTAGTAAAATATATACTGCAGTAAAATTTTAAAAGTATATTCATAATAAAGTTTACTCTTTGAGATATATTTGCAAAATTACAGGAAATATTATATTTTGTAAACGTAAAAATAATATAAAATAAACATATCGTACATAAAAAAATACAAATAGATAAGATATGATTAGATTACAAATATACGTATAACTAAGACATGAATGTAATATAAATACAGTATGACGAATATAATAAAGAAACTTATAAATCTGTAGTGAAATATTAATAAAATTACATACCAATATTATAACGAAGAAGGTTAAATATTCTTCCCCTCTTTATTACACTGCCACTTGTTCTTACTTATTCATTGAATTGTTCTCTCTTTTTCTCTCCCTCTTTATTTCTCATGGTGTTTCTCCCTCATACTTATTTATTTTCTTTTCTCTTTTTATTACACAATATACATTTTTATTGTTGGCCTCCTTACTTTTATTCTCTCACTCTTTTCTTGTCTCTGTTCATTCATTTATATATTCTCATCATTAAAATTTATTTTTTTTGTCTATTAGTTAGAAAATATGTATATATTTAGATATACTCTTTCTCTCTTAAATATATTCTTAGGTTTCTATTTCCTTTTATGGGTTTAAACATTTCATTGGAACCTCGTTTCAATTGCATACGAGTGTATAAATATAAATACATCATACCTTTTTCTTATATGAGTAAATAGAAATTCAGAACAGATATAATAAACTTGTTCTGTCCTATAGAATTTTCAATTTTATAAGAATTCTTGTGTTTAGATATGCATTGAATTTGAAGTATCGATTGTATTATAACTTCAATTTTTGATTATAATTTTAATCTAACATGAACATTAATTGCCAATTTATTTAAAATTGTGGAAAAAAAGTAAATTATGTTTGTAATTAATAGTTTATGATAATTACATATAATCATGTATATATTTTAATATTATCTTATCTACTTTGTAATGATAGGTTACCGAACTTGTTACAAAAATGACATCGGTAACGGAAAATATAAAAATGACATTGGTAACAGAAAACATAAAAGATAAAGGCCAAGAAGATCCAATTAGATGTATATTTTTTTCGGAATTTCATCCTATTGTGGGCCCGATGATCACTTGTCAGGTTAACAACTTATAATACAACTTATAATATATTTGAAATATTATTTTGACATTTTTTTTATTTCAAATAATGCTTTTATATATAATTTATTAACAACACTATCTACAGTGGTATATGTATATCTTTTATTAGGTTCCAGATAACTTCATTTCAAAGGATATTTTTGATAATGTCAGTGTTTATATTATACCAAAAGCACAGTTACAACGTAGTACTATCACAGTGTAAGTTTAGTTCAAAAAGTATAAGAATTTAATAATTCATTTTGAATTAGTTCATTAAATTGTTTATTTTATTACAGAACATTAAAGGATTACAAAATCCTAGGATTTCCAGTGAAAATTGATGACAAAAAGTATGCAAGAAATGCATTTTATTTTAATTTGTGTTTTGTATGTGATGCAGAAGCTCGTACTGTACATTATGAACCTGTTGTGAAAAAAATGTCTGATTTTCTAGTAAGAATATATATATATATATATAAATATTGGTAATAATTATTTTATGTATTTCTTTATTAAATTTAATAAATTTTTTTAGATGGCACTTGAAGTGGAAAATTGTTTTTTATCTGCTTCAGAAGACAAAACAAGACTGTCAGAAATGCTTCAACAGGTAATGCAGGATTTGAACTTACACAAAATGTGTACTTTGACAGGTAAGAACATTATGTAAACAATAACTTTGTAAAAATTATTAAGAATATAAAATATAATATTTTAATAGAGGGGACAATGACGTCCCATTTGAAAGTCATAAAATTAGCACCTGAGCCGAAACCAGTTCTTGATCATCAGGTACCAATATTCTTGGAGGGCCGTGAAGCATTTCAGACTGATCAGTGGGATTTAACTACCCAGCAAGTATTGCCGTACATAGATGGGTTCAATCATGTAGCACGAATAGCAGCTGAAGCAGATGTGGAGAATAATCTGGTTAAAAGTTGTGTACAAAATCTTGTGTAAGTATATAAATATTAAATTTCAGTTGAAATCTACAATTTTTGCAATATTATATTAATTTTCTTTCAGTTATTATGGTGTTGTAACTTTGATTCCGATATTCCAATATAGTAATGTTTATGCAGCAACTTCAAAATTAAGAGAATTGGCAGAAAATACAAAATTACAAGAACGATGTATAGCATATGCTTCAAAATTTCGTAAGTGTTATATTCTCAATGATGTTTATAAAAATAAGAAAGTATCCTACAAAACATTATTTTTAGCCAGACAACCTGCATATCTTAGGGACATATATCGAATGTATGCAAGTATGACACATGGCAGTAGTATGAGAGACTTGTGTCAACGTCTCAATCCTCAAAATTTAAGAATCAATGAAAGACGGTTAGTGCAATTTGGTCTCATTGAAGGTCTTATTCGCAGAGTTTATAAGGTTTGTCATATTGATTGTCAAATTTATACAAAGCATTGTTTATCTGCAATTCTTTTACATTTATAACTTGCAGTATCCGATATATTTACCAGGATCTCCATGTAACGAAGAGATGAAGAATAATCCAGTTTATAAGTATTTTACAGGAACATATAGTCTTGATGAAATTTGTTGTAGTACAGGTCAATCAGCCGCACAAATTGAAGATGTTGTTGAACGTGATCCAAATGTTGTTATGTTATGGAAATAATATTTAAAAATAGTTATTTTATAAACTACATTTTCTGTGATCTTGATACACGTGATGAAGTTTGTTCATTTAAGCAGAGATATGATGACATGCAGGATACATTATAAATGATAAATGGACAAATTATAGTTACAGATTAATTATATTTATTGCATATTATCGATCAATCGTTTCACTTCATTGATGTATATTTCAGGTACTTTGTTCCTTTTCATTTCATCACATTTTTTTTCCATTGTTTCGCGCAATTTTTTCTTACGCATTGCGGCTTCTGTGCGAATTGCTAAACCTTCCTCAAACATCTTCTGTCTTGCCTCAATGCGTTCCCTTTCTTTCTCGTTTACCTAATAAAGATGATAGAACAATTTATGACTATTATTTATGCGGTTCTAACATGCATATCAAAAATTTATATAAATTTATTCTAATTAAAAATGATTAAAAATAAAAATTTTAAACTTTAACAAAGATAATTATGTTACAATATCTTATATCATTTGGAAAAGTAATTAATATTAGAATTCATAACGTGAATCGGTCAAGTGATACTAATTTGTACGTTAAAATATGAAAATTAAAAACAAAGTAAAAAATTAAGTAACCATTAAGACTGGATATGATATAAGATAAATGAATTTTATAGTGGTATTTAAAACAATGAATATATAATATAAGTCGTTGAAAACAATACAGTATATACCGATCCTAAAAGCAAACCTGTTTTAGTATTTCGCTTCTATGAATTAATGCTTTCAACTGTTTCTTTTCAAGTTCTTTTTGTTCCCGACAGAAAACTTCCTTCTGAACCTGTATAATTTTTTCAAATTCACGTCGTTCTCTCTCTAATTCAATCGCTTCCATTATTCGTTTATTATTTATTTGTTTCTTCCTTTCTTCTATAAGTAATTTTTGAGCTTCTACTTTTTTCAAAGCTTCTTCTTTTTCTTTTTGTCTCCATTGTCTTTCTACTTCTTCTTGAATTCGTGCAGCATTCAACTCGTCGATTCGTTCCTGCAAGAAAAAAATTATTATTAAAATGTAAATGCGAAATATAAAATTTTTTATTTATTGTGATAGTAACAATATTTATATCTAAATATTGTAGTAAAATGTATAATGTACAATAAAATGACATCCAAAATATAATAGAAGAGCACTAATTAAATTACATTTATTTCTGATGTAGTATGTAAGACGTTATAAGAGATGTTAAATGCAATAAAATTTCATTTCATTTCATTTGCAATGAAACTTATAAATGTTTATTAAGTAAACAAAAATTCGAAAATCTTTAACATTAAAATAAATAATTGAATACTTGAAAATCCTTTGCTTGTAATGTCTGTGTTGCAACACTTGCTTTCGCCTTTTCTTTTTGTAATCTTTCTAATTTTCGTTCTTCCGCTAATTTTGCATCTCTTTCTTCCTTATACTTTTGGTATTGTTGTATCCTACAGCGTAACGTATGTTATTAATCACTAATTAAAAATTGAATAATTTGATAGATTCTACCTGAGGTCAATGATTTTATTTTCTTGCTGTTCCATGGCTTTGAAGTGTTTTAATTGCTCGTTTCCTTCAGCAAGTTGTTGTCGAATTAGTGCATTTTCAAATTCTTTGCTTCGTAGTTTTGCAATTTCTTCCTGTTGCCAAGCAATATTGCTTAAATTAATTAATCGACTTTCTTCCTGCTTTCTTTCGAACTCTAATATTCTGTTTTCTTCATTTTCTTTTATTTGATCCATTAAACTATTCGCAAATGTTTGTCTCTTTACTGCTTCTTCTTGTTCTTTTTTTATTTCTTCTTTGATTGCCCATCTTCTTTCGTTTTCCATCATATCATTCAAGCGTTTTTCTTCTTCTTCCAACTCGTATTCAATCAGTTTCTTCTCTGCTATCTATCGAGACGTATAAGTTTAACGAATACATTGTATAAAAATTATGCAAATTTAAATATTATTTTATGAATAATTACTAAATTTTATTTAATTTCCCTTTACTACTACTTAATATATAATTTTAATGTGTATAAAAGTATACGTCTATTTTGAGTTTTTAATATTTTAAATTCGATAAAAATGAATACGAAAAAATTTATTACATTAATTCATATTATTTACCTGAGCGTCTCTGATAACCCGACATTTGGTTTCTAAAATGATCCTATTACATTTTTGAATTTCTTCCTCCTGTTCAAGTTTCATGTCCTCAGCTCTTTCGAGGATATATTTTGCTCTTTTCCTGGCTTCTTCTTCAATTTCCACCAATTTTACACATTTTTCACGAGGTTTCTCTTTATCCATTCTACGGAACTCTTCTTTTCTCTCCATACTCTCTTTTATGAGTCTTTGTTTTTCTTCTTCTTCTGCTTTAAGGGCTGCTTCTTGTTCCTCCTTTGTTATAGGGCTGGTGTATTTTTGAAATGTATCGTACTCTTCTTTCGTCAAAACTTTTGCAGGTGGTAATTTCTTTTTTGTAGCACTTACTCGCATTCTTGCTCTCCTTTTATCTATTTTCTTGCCTAACTAAATAATTCATTACAATGAGATCATCGCGGATATCCGTACTCGTGTATTAATTATAAAATATTAATTAATTAATAATAGTAGGGTACATGTTTTGAATTTTTATGATTATTTGGACTACTAAAATGTCCATAATATCGGGTACCGCTTAAGCTTAACAAGTAATTTAAATAACATTAAATTATTTATTATTAACATAATATTAAGTATAATATAAATAAATATCGAAACAAATCTTAATCAAAGCAAAATGAATGGTATAATTTAAAATAATATATATGTAATTTAAAATAATAAATAATATGTATTTAAAATAAAATATAAAACAATAAAAAATCGATGAAATACATACTAGAATACACTTTATTTTAATTTCATTTTATTAGATAATATAATAAATGTACAAATAACATCAAATACCTATAATAAACAAGACGATATAAAAAAAGTATACAAGTTTAATTGAATGATAAATTTGACACACAATTGAATTATGAAAAAAATATTAATCCAGACGAACAAATAAAATTTAATTACCTCCTTATCGTTGCATGAGTAACGATCTGTTTTACAGTCGGTAGTGCGAACACAAGTATTGTGCAGTACATTTGAACAAACTTGATCTTTGTACTTTGACCTTTTTTTGTCCTCTGCATTAGCAGATGATGATCTGCATATTGTGTTCGTTTTTGGTGCATTTTTCTCCACTTTCTGTATCACCATTTTACACTTTCCAAACTCTGAAATTTTTTCCTGTTACAGTATTATCCTCGGTATTCGTTATTTAAATGATCAATTCTTCAGTTGCGAATGTTTAACCAAATTAAGCCATTCTTGTTTAATAAACTACGTAGGTTTCTTCTTAGGTTTCTTCACGTTTCTTTTTGAACAAACAATTATAGTAAAATGTTAACTTGATAAATTGTGAGTATTTGTATTATTGTAAATATCGACAAAACAAAAAGAAGAATAGATTAACCAGAAAGAACTGACATCGAAGACTGGCGTGAAACAAGTTCCTTCATTGTTTACAAATGGTAACCTGTGATTACGTCGTTCGTTTGGTCAATATTAATCCGATAACATATTTCAGTTGTAGGATAGACGAACCTCTTTTTATTAAAACGTGTTTAGTTTTGTCAACGTTATCAGATCGAAAATATTTTCATTGATTTATGTACAAAAACAGAATATTTCAATTCGTAATCGACTTAATTTTGATTTCAAAGAAATATTTATTAGGAATATTTATTCATTTATTTTATGAAGTAGCTAATTGATAACCTAAATAGCGAAAAAATAGTTATTAAAAAAAAAAAAAATGAAAAAAGACATTTCCTGGTATTATGATAATATAAAAGCAGAAAACAAAATTGTAAATGCTAATGAAAATTCAAAATAAATTAATTTAATATAAAATATTTGTTTATTTAATCCCAAAACAAAGTTTGTATGTATACATTTTATATTTAAAATTAAGAAATGTCTTTCTCTCAATTAAGAAACTTGCAATTGTAATTTACTAATTTAAAAACACTTTACGTTCCATTAAACCTTTAAAATGTAAACGAATGTTTAAAATTGCAATATAATTGCGGAATATGAAAAATTGAGAAAAAATTCGTTAAATTCTTATCTACATAGAAGAAGAATTAATCCTACTCATTATTGGAAATATTTTATTTCATTTTATTCTTATCTAGCAAAAAGGAAGAATTCGCCTGAACAGCGATAGGGTGATTCACCCCTTTTCTTCGTATATGCGTTCGTTGCCGAGTTTCCCTATGTCGTCGACTTTCCTCAGGTGGGAAAATGCACACGTGTGAATACGTATTGTTTGTCTGTTAAGTGTTCGTGTTCCCGGCAAAATATATAATCCATATTTGCGGAATATTCGAAACAAATTTAACACGAGGATACACGTAATTTGTTTGATTCTGATATACAACTGGGATGAATTTAACGTGTTAAATATTTCTACTATTTGGAGCTTCAGCACTTTTAATATATCGATGTTAATGAAGAGAACGCGATCAATTTCTTTCGTCTTTCAATGCAAATTAATCTTATATAGCACATCCATTAACACATTTTCATTGCAACGAAAGAAAAATTTATTAATTAATGATAAATCTATTGCAGATGTCGAAGAACATAATAAGAAAGGTAATATCCTAAAAGTTTATTATTCTACATCGAATAAAATATTAAATGTAAAATTTGCAATTTCATAGTATAATAAATATAATTTTTATGGTAGTTATTATATATTTTCATTTATGAGAAATAATATCGAATTTTCATTTAGTATATTAAAAACTGAAATGTTTACAGCAAATGTTGTCATGTTTTATATAGCTAGTAATAACTGTCCTTCGATGAGTTCTCGTGGGAAATATACAACGCACCGATTATTTGGTGAATCGATTTTGCAAGGGGAACTTTTACATTTAAGCATTAAACAGTGTCTGAAGAATGAAAAAGTCGATCAATATTATACACATACAATAGCCATTTTACACGCAGCGGTTAAATTTAACTTGAAGTAGAATATCGTATTATTCCGTCCATAAATATAGCTAAAGTATTGAAAATTTATAATAAAAATTTGTTTCTTTAGAACTCATTGCTTTGGCATACTAGTTATGAAAGCAGATATAGAGAATATAGCAGCAATGATAATGGCTATCCCATTATAGTAAGTATGTAACTGGTAAAGTAGTAACTGTTAAAGGTACAGTAATTACACTGCGAAGTTCCCTTAAAAATTTTTAGATTTTGCAAAGTAACTTCATATTTGCAAAAGGGTTTCAGCGAGTAATTTTCCTTTCGATTGTAAATTGAAAAATACTAGAAATTTTTTAACACACATATTTGCATAGTGACATATCATGTACTTATTTTTACTTGAAGTTTCGTGTATAATTGTTGAATAAAAAATAATTAGTGAATGAAACAAATACAAATATTAGCTTTCTCGCAAGTATGTGAATGAAACTAGTATTATGTGTGATTATACATAGTATATTAATATATGCTATGAATGCTAGTATTATGTAAAGATATTTTGTTATGTAATATAACGTTGAACGTGTTATTTCAAAATACTGTACAATAAGAAATATATTTTTGTGGACTCGTAACATGTTTACTGTTAATACAAAAATATTTATCGAGTTTACGAAATAAAGTAAATGAGTAAAAATTTATAAAATTAACAGAATGATATTCATAAACAGGAATTTATAAAATTTATAAGTAAAAATCGGTGAAATTCATAAAATATTTATAAAATATGAAGATATTCGTGCACATATAAAAGAAACGAGTATAATCGATTTATAGCTACCATGTCCATAAAGTTTCAACCACTCTTCGATCTACAATGAACGGAAACAGTATGCGTATCTAAACACGAAAAGGAACTTTCGAGATATAGCCAAAAAAGAATTTATTGTACTTTTTCTTGCATGTCTTGTCGGTAAACATGATATTCCAAAGCTGCGCCAAACGACTGCGTTCTAGTCGGCCAATTGCGAAGAGTTTCCCTAATAAGAACTTTTCTAGAAGTGGGAACACTGGCGTATGTGTAAGATTCCTTGCTTTTTGCCTTCACTTTTCGCGCGACAGCGTCTCGAACTACTTTGCGACATGTGTCAAACGGAATATTTCAATTTGATGGTTCTATAGTACTTACTAGACAAAATTATTCTATTGCAAAATATATCATTTTTCTCTTACGTCATCCTATTGCACGTTGTTACTTACTTTTAATTAACAATTTATTTGTTTTTAAGTTCTCTGAAAGGAATATTGATATATATGTATTGAAATGTGTGCGTAGATTCTCTCAGCTTTCTTTATGTATTTCTGATGACATTTTGATATTGAATTCGGAAAAAGCAGGTTGCATCCATTTTCCTTTCTCTTTATCCTTGAATTATTGATTTATGAAATTTTAGAATATATAAAATTGCACACAACTATAAACAATGTGAAGCATCATTTTATTAAATACCCATTTAATTCAATTTTGATTCCTACATTTTACTTTTCCATATTTTAACTTCATTCTTTAGTTCTTGATTGTTATTTGTTATGTAACATATTATATATATATATGTATATGTACACACACACATATACATATCTTTTAAAACTAATAATTCCTTTGTACGTGAATAAAAACAGTGGAAAGTAATTATAAATTTTGTGAATTGCAAATAATATGAATTTTTATTGTGACAATGTTGGTGTTCGCGTGTTTCTAAAAGAAAGAACTATTTCATTGGATCATATATGCAAATGGAGGTGAAACATGCAATATTTGGCAAGTGTATAATGTATATTCGGGGAAAATCGTGAGTATAAAATAACGATTTGATAAAGTGAGAGTTTGTATAAATTAATTTTAATAATAAAATAAATAGCAGCACAAAGATGATTAAAAAATGATCAGTTGAATTTATTTGACAAACTATTTAATTTTTCAATTTTTAAATCTGACAGTCTTATGCAAATTTTAGATGAAACAGTAATAAAGCATGTGATCAAATTTTGTTGTTTATAAATGAAAATTATTGAATAAGTAAATTTTTGTACTCGAATGTTGATCTTGCATTAACTTTCTTCGTTACATGGAAATGATAATGCTTTCAATTTTATATCATTAGAAGTAAAACAATTCTATTCCAACATAATTGTGCCAAGAAAAAGTACATTTTGTACAGTATCATAGTGAAAAAAGTTATTTTTCGGAAAACATCCCTCGTTTTTTAAAAGTTATTTTTATATTTTTTATAGATATATAAAATTGCATAAAAGAAGGAAAGAGAAAGTACTTTAATACCTTAGTACCGATATAGACTACTGATATCGATACTATTTTTGAAATCTTATTCAATTTAGGTATATTATTAAGGATATTGAAACTTTTACGAATTTTCTATCTGTTCTTAAAGTTTTATCTTTCACAGATTTGAGTTTTATCCGTACATTATATTTTACACTATAATTTTATATGTTATAACAAGGATATGAAGAAATGAGAAGAAGAAAACACATATGTGATCTTCATATTTTATGTGCGAAAGATGATCGATCCGTAAATTTCACAGCAATTTAACATAAGATAACATGCATAGCTTTCCTGATACGAAAAAGAAATGAAAACTATTATACAATGAATAAAAAAATTAAACACAAAAATTAAAAACTTTATTTCTGTTTTCCTTTTTTTTTTTTATTCATTTATTTAAATAAAGCTTCCATAATTTTATTGGTCGATTAAAAATTTCTTAACTGAGAAAATATAAGAACTAAGAATTTGTAAGATTTGTAACATTTAAGGAAATTTAATTTAAACAACGTATTTCAAATTTTTCCCACAATTTTGATTTCAAATACAACGTACGTTAAATTATTGATTAAATATCGAAAAAACGGTATTGACATAAAGAATTCATATAGATTAATAATTTTATACTTTTTAACAATTGAACATTTATCGAAAATGGACGCAATTTACACGAAATATAAAATATTATAAAAACTCCGATCCCAAGTTACATAAATTTCTTTGTATATTCCTATTATGTTCATGCATTATATCCTCTGTTTGATTTAAATAACATTTTACATATTTTATCATCTTTCGTTGTACTAGACTACACAAAGTGCCATATACAGTACCATCGTAAAATACAAATTTTTGAAATATCAAACTTCGCATTCTCTTGAAACCAAACTTACATATATTTGAAAAGCAGGCATCAATTTGTCTTGCATAGTTTTGAATCGATAGGAAGAACCTACCTCTCTTTTTACGTTGTTTCCGAACAAACCATTTTTACCTCAATTGTACATCAAAAAAGAAAATGAAAGAACTTGGTAGTTGCCAATCGAATGACTCGCCAAAAAAACAGAGAGGAAGATCGAAGCACACACCGACGTTTAAATTATTCAGCAAGAAGAACAGCTGGCCGAAGGTAATGATATCTCGCGACAGTACCATTTACAAGAAGATCAAAGATTCCTCCAGAACTCCCAGTTTGTCATTTCTTCAAGAAACTTCGAGCGAACTGCGAACCAAAGGAGAAAAAGTTGGCTATGACGTGGAGCATTTGTATTGCGATGAAAATGGCACAGATTTCGAGGAAGTACATGATGTCTGTTTAATTAGTAGTTCTAGCGAGATACAAGAAAATCTCGAAGCGTGCGAAACATTGAGAAAGTCCGAGAAGAGCTTGAAGAAGATTGACGAAGTGATCAAGAAAAGTGATTTTGATTACTCGACGGAAGGAAATGTGATTTCCAATATAGGAAATCGACAGAGGCCTATTTTCGTTGATCTAACGGCAGACGAGAAGAACACGTGGAAACAAACTATTTTGAAGAGATTCTGTGATGTGAAGATAAGCACGGCGAATGAAAAGGGAAGCAAGAACGAGAAGTGCCCTTCGAATGTTTTACTAGGTACAGAATTAATGATACAAACAAATTGAAGTGTAATTTCAGTAAAACTGGTTGATTAACAACTATAAGAAATGAAGTGGCGATATGAAATGTAGTCTATTTTAAAGGGAGACACTTGCTAAAGAAGCAAATAGTACTTACACAAAATGTTATTCTTATGTAAAATTTTTATAAAAAAGATGTATATTTGAATCATATTTATTAGATAAATCGTTTTATTCAAATTTTTGTAGTAATAAAGGAGAAAATATAGATAATTCTTCCTTTTTTTCCTTTTGTATATGTTACTAGGTCATTAGTGACGATACTATCTCATTCTAATATCGATAATAATATAGGTAAAAATAAAATTACATTTGGTTTATTAATCATGAATGATGATATGATAAATGATGAACAATGAATGATGAAAACTACATTTCAAATAATAATTTTCTTCGAAAGTTTGATTTCTCGGGTTTGACTTGGTAAGGTAAATAAAATGAATCTTCAAACATTCTGATATATGTAATGATATAATAACTCGAAATACGAATAACTTTTTATTTTTAATTTATTTATCGAATATCAATAATCCTTCAAAAAATAATTCACCACTTAATATGCATATGCCTAAATTGTTCTAAAATTTGATAATTAAAAAGTATCACGTGTTCAATTTTGGGGATAAAAAATTAATAAGCGATAATGAACATTTCCGCAAAAAAACTATAAACAAATGTCTTCCCTTAAAACGAGACTGACTTGGAGAGTGCAAGTCCTTCGGGTCACCGATTTAGTTGAAACTTTGCAGGTTTGTAGATATCGTCATGTAGTTTAAGAAAATATACCATTATAGCGGCAACTACTAAACAGTTTTTGAAATATTTACGACTAAAGTTTTATTACTAATCTTAATTATGTATTTATCTCCAGCAATATGCAATCAAAGTCGTGACTTAATGCCGATGGTTCAAAATTCTTATAACGAAAGACCCCGGGGTTCGATTCCCGTCTGCATAGTTTGGTAATTTTTTAATCTATTTCTTATTTTGTGTTCATTTTTCGTCTATGAAAACATTGTAAATAAACGATTGTAAATAAAATTTCTTAATAAAAAAATTTATTTTTTGCGCTTTCTTATGTAAGTATATATTTATTACAAAATAATAAGAATATTATGGAAGAAATATACTTTCCTATATTAATCTTATTTACTATAGAAAATATAAAACCTATCTCATGTAAGTATTAATTATTAAATTAAACATTGTATAAGAATGTCGCCTATAATTGCAACTTTGCTGTGCAGCTATAAATGTTCATGAATTAATTAGAAAAAATTGGAAATTTATTAATTTTCTACTGCTGAATAAATACAAATTTTACCGCCTGCGATCAGCGCCATCTATGATTTGGGCTCAAAAATCAAGAAAGTAATAGGAATATAGAATAGGCAAGGAAGTCGTCAAAGAGCTGGTCACGTGGTAGACAAGGACAGAGAGGGGATAGAAAAGGATAGAATGGCTCCGCCAGTGAAAACTTATTAATTACTCAATTTCCATAAGCAATTTGTGAACTTTTATAATTCCCTTGCAAAGCTGGAACTTCAGGCTGCATTCCTATATAATTTTTGTAAAGAATTTAACTCTAAATTGTTAGTTATTAATTTTTGTTTGATGGCGTATATAATTTCATAACGGCGACCATCACGATCTTCCGTGAAAATATTTATTAATCAACGAAACTTGAAGCAAAATGTGATCAAAAGTTATATGAGAAGATTCGCAAGAACATTGTTTTTATGATGAGTGCATAAAGATTCATGAATTAATTGTGTAAAGGATAGTAATTAACGAAAAACCAATGGCGTTTTCGACAACAATTCAAACACTGCGCAGAGTAATTATTAATAATTAATTAATTAGGGACAAATTTATATCAAAAAATACATTGGAAAGTTCTTGAAGGATCTGCTTTTACGATGCAATTATAAAAGTTCATAAATTAATCGCAAGAATTAAGTAATTAATTAATTTTCCAATAAAAATTCAAAAAGGAACCGTCAGCACCACCTATAGCTCTGTACTCGAATTAACGGAGCACAAGCTTCCAGATAAAAGTCACAGGTGGCGCTGACGGTTCCTTTTTGAATTTTTATTGGAAAATTAATTAATTACTTAATTCTTGCGATTAATTTATGAACTTTTATAATTGCATCGTAAAAGCAGATCCTTCAAGAACTTTCCAATGTATTTTTTGATATAAATTTGTCCCTAATTAATTAATTATTAATAATTACTCTGCGCAGTGTTTGAATTGTTGTCGAAAACGCCATTGGTTTTTCGTTAATTACTATCCTTTACACAATTAATTCATGAATCTTTATGCACTCATCATAAAAACAATGTTCTTGCGAATCTTCTCATATAACTTTTGATCACATTTTGCTTCAAGTTTCGTTGATTAATAAATATTTTCACGGAAGATCGTGATGGTCGCCGTTATGAAATTATATACGCCATCAAACAAAAATTAATAACTAACAATTTAGAGTTAAATTCTTTACAAAAATTATATAGGAATGCAGCCTGAAGTTCCAGCTTTGCAAGGGAATTATAAAAGTTCACAAATTGCTTATGGAAATTGAGTAATTAATAAGTTTTCACTGGCGGAGCCATTCTATCCTTTTCTATCCCCTCTCTGTCCTTGTCTACCACGTGACCAGCTCTTTGACGACTTCCTTGCCTATTCTATATTCCTATTACTTTCTTGATTTTTGAGCCCAAATCATAGATGGCGCTGATCGCAGGCGGTAAAATTTGTATTTATTCAGCAGTAGAAAATTAATAAATTTCCAATTTTTTCTAATTAATTCATGAACATTTATAGCTGCACAGCAAAGTTGCAATTATAGGCGACATTCTTATACAATGTTTAATTTAATAATTAATACTTACATGAGATAGGTTTTATATTTTCTATAGTAAATAAGATTAATATAGGAAAGTATATTTCTTCCATAATATTCTTATTATTTTGTAATAAATATATACTTACATAAGAAAGCGCAAAAAATAAATTTTTTTATTAAGAAATTTTATTTACAATCGTTTATTTACAATGTTTTCATAGACGAAAAATGAACACAAAATAAGAAATAGATTAAAAAATTACCAAACTATGCAGACGGGAATCGAACCCCGGGGTCTTTCGTTATAAGAATTTTGAACCATCGGCATTAAGTCACGACTTTGATTGCATATTGCTGGAGATAAATACATAATTAAGATTAGTAATAAAACTTTAGTCGTAAATATTTCAAAAACTGTTTAGTAGTTGCCGCTATAATGGTATATTTTCTTAAACTACATGACGATATCTACAAACCTGCAAAGTTTCAACTAAATCGGTGACCCGAAAGACTTGCACTCTCCTTGTGAGCATGTGGCATACTTAATATTATAGCTATTAGACATTAATCATACATCACTAGCTACTAACCATTTTTCACTAATCATAAAAATTAAATCGTTGCTTACTATTTTTTAATCCATTTATCATTACATCTAAATTCTTCGCAATTTAAAATTTACTTAAATTTACGAAGTACAAGCTATTCTATGATCTAAATATTACAGTCTACGATATTCTAATAACGATATGTATGTACGTGCAATTTCTATTAATTATTAAATACGATTAATTTTGCTCTTCTGGTACATTTTGTCATTCCATTACAGAACCTCGAATTATAATAGCTGATAGTTCTAACAAGTTAAACCGCAATGAAACTGGCAGCTTGGTAACTGCTTTACAAGATCGTGGACCATGTTTGATACCAGTGCAACCGAATCGTTCTTTACCTATTCGACCTGCACCATCTGTACCTATAAGATTCTTTCGAAAGAATTGTTCATCGTCACTTATATTACCCAAATCTGCTATACTGGATGTAGTGGAAGTAGAATCGACAAAATCAATAGATACTCTGTCGATCGAGAAACTTCGCAAGAAAGGAAACATTAATTCCGAAATGCAAATAGCATCGAAAAAATCTGTCAGTTCGATGGATTATGTTGTTCCCCAAATTTCAAATGTAGGAAGTCTCAATGTGACGAAGAGGAGAAATAATAACGAAATGGAGCACGAGAAGGATAGTGTTAAAGAAAATAGAAAGAAGAAAAGATCGCAGGGAACAAATTCTAGTCAAAATAAAGAGGAACGTGTGGAAAGTTCGATTAAGGAGTTTTTAACGAATTTCTGCGGCTCGAACGCGACAGAAGGAATACAAAATCTTTGTACTGACAAATGCGTTAGAGCTACATCTACGACAAAAGAAGAAACTGGTAACAAGTTAGTGCCTCCGTTAAGATTGAAGAAAGTTGTGCATGCAGGTAACAATGAAAATAAATAACGAATAGAAATTTTACTTCGCATTTTTTTACTTTTTTTCGGAATATAATTTCATTATACTTTTGATACGGACTGTCTTTAAAAATGAAAGTTGAAAATTAAAGTTGGAAATGTTTACAGTTGAAAAGACCTAAATTTGAAAAATTAAAAAATTTGGGTTTAAAACAGTGAAAAATTCTTTAAATTTGTAATTATATTAAAATTACGATTTTGGTAACTATTGTAAAATAGCCATTTTTCTTTTTTGTACTAGTGTGCTTCATATTTTCATATATATTAAATTCCAAGCATTGTATTTAAATTATATTATTCTTGATAACAGAGACGGAAAGATATAAGAATTCCCAAATCATCATGGGATCAGGACACGAGTCAAATTACAGAATCATCACAGATACAACATCTCAGCCATCGTCTAGTTTAAATCCCAATAATTGTAATGACACCCTCTATGAGAAGGACGCAGACTTTGCATCTTCGAATACCGACAGCTACAAGCTAAAATATCGACGGAACAGATTAAAGCAAAAGCTTCGTGAACTACGAAGCAAAGCTGTGGAGTTAGCCAAGCAAATGGCGAACGATTCAAACCCTCAACAAAGTACCAGATTGAGACAGGTGATGAATCGCTACGAAAAGCGAATAGAAAATCTGTCAAAGTTACATAGAAAATTGTCTACAGCCCTTCCAATCTCCAAAGAAGTGATCGATGTAAATAGCGATAACATGAGTCCCTCTGATAACAAATATCGGAGTGTGAACTTAAATAGTAGGAATGCAGATTGCTCACCCAATAACAATTCTTCTTCACCGTCACCCGAACCGCCAAAATTATCACCAAAGTCATCGCTAGATTACGATAGCGTATTGCCGGAAGAGGTTCGAAATAGTCCACCTATTTTACCGAGGGTATGTCTGACTATCTCGTCGAGTCAAGATTCACTGGAGGAGGAACTACAACTTGCAGAAAGAAAAGTGTGGCCTGTAAACGAAGAATCAATGAAATCAACGTTTTCTGTGGACCCTCTTCAGTCTAATTCCATAGAAAAGGATCCTCCAAATATTGAAAAACATGCTCAAAATACGCCTGTAGGGCAACAGAATAATATTAGCGTTGACATAGAAAGTTCCGATCTTACTGTTAATAAAAGGGATTTAAATGATTCTAAAAAGATTATTCAATTCTCAGAGGATAATTGTACGATTCGGAAAAAAAAAGATGAAACGGACAAGTCGTCGGATGGGTTTTCACAGAGTTGTCTTGTAATTCAAGAATCAGAAGAAATCAAATGTCTTGAATTTTCTGAGGCTAGGCCGATAATAAGTTCTGTGACCAGTTGTGTGGATGTACCAACGGCTGCTTTAGAGAACGAAACATTTCAAATGTTACCTGGAAAACAACTTCCTCCGATAAGGGAGCACACGTTACAATCCAATTGCTATGATCCCAATCAGGAAGAAGATTCATTTCCGAAAGTACACGAGGTCAATCGAAATACGCAAAAGGTTTGTGAGAAAATAATCGTAATAATGGACTTATTACATTCGTGATGTGAATTTACGTAATTTTGTGATCCACTTTCTGGTTGCTGCTGACGTAAATTCACGTCATTTATGATCCTCTTACTGGTTGCCGCTGACATGAATTTAATCACTTTAAATTCTGTATGTGGTTGTCGTTGGCGTGATTTCAGAGCACAATTTTTTGCCAGTTTGAAATTTTTCAGGAAATCTTATAATTGTTATCCTTATTTAAATGACAGAAATTTGCCACAATCAACTTTCAAATGTCTTTATTTTAATCGGCTTCTAACATTAGAAAAGTGAAAAAATTACCACTTATAAATCCTATATGAAATACACACATATATAATATTAGTTATTAATATGTGGTTTATTAAGTTATTAATTAATAAAAAATAGATTTTACTGAAAAAATATTTGCTCCTTTTGAATACTGAATGTCTGATATATAACTTTCTGGGTGTATTTCTAGTAGAAAAGCAAAATAACAAGTTACACAGTAATTTTCGAAATCCTTGAGTAGTATAATAAACATTTCAAATTAAAGATAATTTATTTCAAAAGACAGATACTCTAAGTTTTTGTCAATTTGATTATTAATTATTTGACGTTCCGAACATATATATTGTCAACAAATATAGAAAAATTTTGCTTTTTAACAAAAAACATTATGCATCTATGAAATATAAATAAATAAATATATGAAATTTTGGAGAAAGATTTTAATTTCTAATATAAAATTCATATTTAGTTTTAAACTATAATCAAAATACTCGTGCGTTTCTTACGACAAATATTTTAAAATTTACATCATTAGATTGTTTCATTCGAATTATTTTGCATTAGCATATACATATATA